CTCTTCTGTCATGTAGTGGACACTAGGGCTGCACAAGGTTGGAAAAATCTACTCTTTGCGATATGAATACAATTTCATCAGATGACTTATATTCTCTATTTGTAAAGAATTTATAATGTTAGATTAATTGGGATGATTCTGCAATGGGAGTGCATCTCTATTAAATCTATTACACAGTCAATCTTAAAAAAAATTTTTTTCATTGTGGTCTGTGCCTTTTGCAGTGTATTTCTGTATCCCCATGTGTTGTGAGTATTTTCATGCATAACAATCTAAAAATTAAGAAAAAGATACAATTGAAATAAACGGTTTTATCATGTCCTGAGTCTAACGGTATTCAAGTAAAGTAACTGAATGATAAAAATATATATAATTCCGTAAGATTAATTGTAGTTAAGGTCACAAATGGTACTATTTCTCATACCTGATTGCTTTTAAAATCATTATACAATTATAGGCATTGAAAAAACACATGCAATTGATAAATTAGAATATAAACTTAACATTACATATCCTGCGATGTCTTTATTGCGAATGATCACATATGTGATATCGATGCTGAAATGGTATATTGTGCAGCCCTAGTGGACACATTAGCATTATTAAAATAGTTAGCTTTTGTAACTGTAAAAACATCTTAGAACATCACTTATATTTTCAGTACAACTTAAATATTGTACAACCTTAAACTAAGGCATAAATCCAAATTGTAATGATTAAAAACTATTCAACTTACACTACCAGAAAGTATAATAATAAAAAAACTACTAAATTGTTTTTTTTTTTTAATAATAAAATATATATATTTAATGTTCTGTGTAGGGTTTGGGAAAAGGGAATTTAATAAAAACTATAGAAGGCCTGTAAACCTTGAGATTTTTACATAAACGCTTAGCAAAGCCTTGAGGTTTTTATTTATTTGACTTACTCTAAGCATTCGAGGACTAATTTAAAACTACCAGGGAAAAGTTTAATAAAAGTAGTGTTGTTAAGCAGTATCAAATATTCATTCCGAAAATGTTGTTTGTTTTAACTGCTTAAAATAAGATGAAACAACACATTTTCAAGTTTTTTTTTGTGACAACCTAATTGTTTTATGTTCAGTCAACTTAAATTTGTAAAAAAAAACAATAAGTTCATTCCTTTGATCATGTGGAACTCTAAATTAGTGGAACTATTTATAGTGTTGTTAGATAAAGTATATATAAAGTTTCCATAATAAAATCTGAAAGCTAAAAAATGTAAAATAAATAGGCATAGTTATTTGTCAAAACCTTTTCCTTGACATGGTTTTTAAAGTAATCCCACACAACCCTCCCCAAAATTAAAATGAATAATCTCATTCACTATCCACTTGTTCCGAATCTGTATACATTTATTTCTTCTGTTGAACACAAAATAAAATATTTAAAAAATTGTGTACACACTTCAATAGTATAGTAGAAAGAATCATTGTAAATGTAAATGAATACTGTCTGGTTTTCATTTTTTTTTTTTTAACATGTATCATCGTCATAAATTAATAAACATCATACCAGCAATTAAAGCTTTTAAGACTCCAGACATATTACTGTTTAAATATTCCTAATAAGGACCTGGACAGAGTGTGTTGAAATGAGCCAAAAACAGGCGTATCCTTGTTGAGCTATTGGTTACATTCCCCAGAGGGTGATTAATGAGGACACATTACATTACCCACAAATCAATAGGGATTTGTCAGAATCGAATGATGTTTATTGGAGTTATCGCAATTCCCAGAAACCTGCAATCCCCTCAGTTTTCATAAGAAATGATGGTCCAGCATTAAAGTGTTTCATAATATGTAGGTATTTAATAATTTTGAGAACTATTATGAAAGTATAAATCAATTAAATCGCATTAAAAAATGTGACTTGTTTTACATGCTGCTGATTTTGTGTGTATTTGTACAATTTAAGCATAGAGGTCCAAAAGGTTATACGAAACGACACTTTATAACTGGAGGTTAACTATGTTTATACTACCAACGCTTCGTTAAACTTCCTAACTTTTCAGATTTCTACTTTAATGTAATGATGTGCACCTTTTGTGAAGCTGCGTTGGAACAATAATTATTGTAAAAAGCACTATACAAGTAAACTTGATTTGAATTGAACTTGTTATCAATGTAAAATAGCTTTAGATTAGCTTGAATCTTTATAAGTATTTTTTATTTTTATAGATAATGTGTAAATGACTCTCTTTGTTCTTTGTAGCATTGCAGGATGTGTGTAATGTATAATGAAGAGATTTTTCTTCTTTTTTTTTGCCTGTGCAGTGCATTAGGTTTAATGTAATCATGGGCATTTTCATCAGATATTTTGATCTGCATGCTCTGGAGATCGCAATGAATAGCAGGTATTCAGTGGCTATTTTTACCCAACACAGAAAAGTTTGTGTTGCCCTTTGAGAAAAACAGTGCTTTCTCTGTCTGTTTGGAAAATGTGACTCTAAAGCCATTCTCTTTATTGTGATGCAGACACAGAAGAGTCTTGCTCTATATGGTTGTTCACATAGAAGGATGAATCAGTGGTTAATGGCATTATCAGTAGATCAAGGCATGAAATGTATAATTATCAGTTAATGAAGGCGTGACATTCTGGAAATTTATATGTGTGGACTGTGCAACGTACAAATGTAGTCCATTACTGATTACGAACATGATGGAAATTGTAGTAAATAATCTATATAATCTGGCATCACTGTGGCCCAGTGGGTGGCATGCTCACCTCACAGCAAGAAGATGACTGGTTCGAGCCTCGGCTAGGTCATTTGGCATATCTGTGTGGAGTTTGCATGTTCTCTCCGTGTTTGCGTGGGTTTCCTTTGAGTGCCTTCTTGCTGTGAGGCGACAGCATTCTAGCATTTGTTTACCTGTAGTTGTGTGACCATATAACAGCAAACAGTACATGCCTTTTTAGCAACTAAGCAGTTTTATTTCATAAGAAGACATGAACGTGCTTGAAACATTTCGTGATTTTTGTTTTAGGTAAAAGATTTTTTAAATTATTTTCGGAGCCTTGATGAGGCAGATTATATATTAGCGTTTGAATTTTATTGTGATTGCTGTGTGTGCTTTTGTGTAGAATTATTATGACAAATGTGTTTTTAACAACATCTAGAGTATGTATGTATGTGTGTATGTTTTTTTTTTTTGATATGCTTATTTTTAAGAATTATTTAAAAACAAAAAAATGACCCTTTTTTTTATTGTTTTACTTTTTAATTTTGGTTTGTAGATAGGCAACATTAAAAGGAAGGTGACACATTGCATTAAGGAGTAGACTTCTTTCTTTTTTTATTTTATATTTTTTTATATTTTTAACATTGATTTTTCAAAAGTCAGCCAGTATCATACTAGATCTAATTCTAAGGAAAGCATTATGTATGAATAGAATACTGTTAAAGTTAATTATTTATTAGAAATTAGTTTTTAAACTTTTGTTTAAAAATCTTCTCATTTAAACAGCACTTACACTTTTACAGAAGCTCACTGAATTTGAGTGGGAAACTTCTAATAAAGTAAGCAAAAGAGGTATTTACAATATGATGGCTTTTATGATAAATAATCAGGTTAGTTAATTAGTTTTTATTATTACAAACTTGACGAGGATCAGTGCTGACTGTTTTTTGTTTGTTTGTTTGTTTGTTTTGTACGGTTTGTTTATTTAATTAATTTATTTATTACTTATGTGATTGTGATTGGGTTAATGATGGCAGCTGCTTTGAAAATTTTCTAAATACCAAACTGCAGTTCCTGGAGGGCCGCAACCATGCAGAGTTTAGTTCTAACCCTTCTTCAACACACTCACTTGTAGGTTTCAAACAAGGAAGTCTGAAGGACTTAATTAGTCCGGTCTTACAGTGCACACAACTACCTCCACATCTATCCAATCATTAGTTTGTAGTATCTGTGTAGAGTAATAGAACTTGCCCTGCATTTTACTCTTTTTGCACATTTTGTTTAGGGTATTAAGTGGAAATGAAGATTTTGCTCAGTCAGATTCTTTTTGTTTTTGCTCACAAAGAGAACTTTGTGTAGCTGAACTCTGTGAAGTGTTGGTATGAATGTTATCTCTGAACCAGTTGATCCAAAGAAAAAGCCTTTCACTCTCATAAATGAAGTGAAATGAGAGATACATCATTTCAGAAGTGGATGTCCTAGGTTTTCAGTGTTTTATTCATAAAAGAAAACACCTTCTCTTTGGTTTTTTAAAAAAAAAAAAAACTGAATTATTGTATGAAGTCTTTCCCCCTCTGATACACAATGTGAAAGTAATGATTTATACAATTGTTTCATTTAAGTGTGGGTTAAGGCAGGGGTGTCCAAACTCGATCCTGGAGGGCCAGTGTCCTGCTGAGTTTAGCTCCAAATTGCTTCAAAACACCTGCCAGGAAATTTCTATTATATCTAGTAAGAGCTTGATTATCTAGTTCAGGTGTGTTTGATTAGAGTTGGAACTAAACTGGAAACCGGCCCTTCAGGACTAAGTTTGGACAACCCTAGGTTAAGGTAAGATTCAGGGGTAGATTTAGAGATAGTATGTGGTTATACTATTTGTGTTATATCTACATGTATGTACATGTGAAACATGACTGTAAAACAAAGTGCTGCCACTATTCTGATGACCATTGCTCCATTTCATCCCAAAATTATATTAACCTACACTCTTAACCCAAATAGTTTACTTTACTAGAAATTTGCATGGAAAAAACCCTGTTGCCTTTAATTCCTTCAGGTCAAACTAATGAGCCCTAGTTAACTTAATATAGAACTTAAGGTTCTGTTTAGTTCTATGCTTATTAAACTATGTCTGTTTAGTGTGTACAACCATATAAAAAACATTATTTTCCATGCATACATTATGATTCAAATTCCAAGTAAATTAGCAGCTATGATTAATAAGACATAACCTTAATAGTACTTTTGCATTTTCTGTACTATTACTTGCTCAATAGTATTTCTGTTTGTTGGTTTACAGGTTGCTTGTTGGTTCCCCAAAGGCAAAAGCATTGCCCAATCAGAGGTCAAAAATTACAGGAGGCTTGTACAACTGTGACATAAACATTCCTGGTCAGTCATGCCAGCGAGTAATGTTTGACAATGAAGGTAATCTCAAACACATGAAAGCATGCCATGTTATAATGAGTTACACTTTGTGTTAACTGAAACTTTGTGCTTTTAGAAAACCTGCAGACTGAAAATAAAGAGAACCAGTGGATGGGAGTTACTGTACAGAGCCAGGGTCCTGGTGGAAAGATATTGGTAAGAGAAAGAGAGAGATATAAGGTTTAATTCTTTATGTTGTTTACCAATGCTCTCACGGCAATGCATCCCTTTTTGATGGTGTGGCTAATTGGTATGAATTTTTACGATCTCATTCACACAATTTAGTATGGTTTGCTTATCCCCCAGTGACAATTAGGTTTAGGGATAGGGTTGTGTGCCAGGCCTCTGACTGAACTTATACAAATTAGCCACTAAACTGACAAAAACATAGTAGTTAATCGTCACGTTTCCTAATGAGATCAGGCTGAGTTTACATGAAGAAAAAAATATATAATGACATTAGTATGATTTCCTAGAGATGGGTAGAGAAGGATATCCGCTGCATAAAAACAAGCTGGATAAGTTGGTGGTTCATTCCGCTGTGGTGACCCCGGATTAATAAAGGGACTAAGCTGAAAAGAAAATGAAGGAATAAATGAATGACATTGGTATGACCTAGGTAGCAACGCAAAAAAAAAAAATACTTTTTTTAAACTTATGTCTATAGATGTGATGTGCACTTCATTATTTTGTTTTCATTTCAGTATTTTTTATTATATTTCTTTATGGTCTTTAATCAGATATCATAACATTCCCTGTCCCCTGGAAATATCTTTTCTTCATATCTGGTCATATGGAATGCCTTTCGAGAGGGGTTATCAGGGCTTGTCTCATTTCTGCCCTGCTTTTGTCCATTTGTCAATCTTTTTTTTTTCTCATTTTGTTTGCAACTGTTTCCAAAGGACAAAATCGTGCAACACCCTACATTTTCTTTCTAATTGCAGGACCGTTTCAAGTGGATCTACATATTGATAGAGAAAAAAGCACAGTCTTAACTTCTTTTCATGGCGACTTTAATGTAGTGTACAAGGACATGCCTTGTGTCCTCGTAATTCAAAATGCTTGAAAAAATCATATTTAATGGGGATGTTCAACATTTTCCAGAGGTTTCCTTTGAGGGTTTAGTTTAGACTAGATCTTGCTACATTTCTAGTTCTAGCCAAGGTCCGATTAGTGTTATGGACACACTGTGGCCTAGGATGTGAGTTTATTGTAATTATTTTCAATAAGTCAGCCATTATTCCTTACAATATATTGTCTAAACAGGATAAAAATCTATTTTTATTACAGTACAAAAATAAAGAGTGTTATCTAAATGACACTCAAGACGTGTGACCGTTTTAATTGGAGCAAACTGTAACTGTCAACATGGTGAATGAAGACCCACCTTCTAGTACAGGAGCCAATTAGCGATCGATATAGACAAACCTCAGAGGGAGGTGATCTGAAATAAAACTACAGATGCAGTTGTTGTTTAATACACTTGGTGATTGATTACATAAAATTTATCTTAAGCTTGGCAAGCAAATTTGGAGAATTTGGTGTTTCCTCTTGCATGACAAAATGCCTGAGCATACTGCCTGGGAGGCGTTTCAAAGATGTCTGCCGAGTGAAATTACTTGCCTTAAAGGAACTTTTTTAACATGCACAGATATAGTGTTATCCAATAGTGATAGTGATATATCCAAAACCATAGGATTTGCAACTCCAATAACAATTTTGCTTAGATTATCTTTGCAGTGGAACCACAAAATGAACATTTGCATTTATTGCATGTACAGTTCAATCACAAAACCATTGTGATTGAAAAACAAGCCCAAAATCATACAATTCAATAGTAGAATGCATCCTTGATTATTGTTAACTTTTTCTCTGTTTTGAGCCATATATATATATATGCATTTTTATCATAACAAAAGTATTCAACCTGTAGGTTCAATTGGGCTGAGGACAAGGACAGTGACAGAGTTTGTACAGTGTAAAGTGTTCCTTTACAGAACAACCGTAACAATCAGTCCATTTTAGAATATTTTGGGATGAAAACTTAAATCACTGTATTTATGTTTTTATTTCAGGGACAGATAATGAACATTGCTTGTAGATTGTCCCGTATGTTTAGTATTTATCAGTAAATGCTATTTAAACTTAACTCCCAATGTCTCAATCCAGGTCTGTGCACATCGATACCAGCGGCGCTTATTTGTTGGCTCAGTTCAGGAACTGCGTGACTTGACAGGTCGGTGCTATGTACTTAGTGAGGATGTGACGATTAATGAGATCTCAGATGAAGATGGAGGGGATTGGATGTTCTGCAATGGGAGAAACAGAGGGCACGAGCGGTTTGGATCATGCCAGCAGGGCATGTCCGCCACATTCACAAAGGACTATCACTATCTGGTGTTTGGAGCACCAGGCGCTTACAACTGGAAAGGTATTAAAGGAAGAGCTTGTATTATTTAAACTTTTGTTAAAATTTGAATAGTATTTGATGCTTTTTTGCAAGGTCAAAAAATACTTTTATTGTCTTATGATGTGCATTTCTTTTACCGAATTATCCTAGCGACTCCCATATGATTCGTTCAGTGATTCATTTGTTCCCAAAACCCCTCCTTAGTGCGATGCCAGTCTGCGCTGATAGGTCCGATGACCCAGTCTGTTGCGATTGGTCGACTGCTTTCAGCGTGAGGCAGAGAGAAATGCCCACCATGGCTTATCAACAATTTTGAAGTAGAGTGCAGAGTGTATGTGTGAGCCCAATGTAGGAGTGCATTAAAACAATGCAGTAAACACCAGCATATTGCTATATTCTTAACCATAAGTAAAAACAGTGACACACATTTAGTATTAATCCACACAGCGGCAAAAGCTGAGCTATTTGGAAACTTGACTGCCACACGTGTGTTGGAACAGCTGATTGTGGCTTTAGCAATGGCAAACCACAGTAGATTGTGAGCTCACAAATGCATTTAAATCCATAAATAAAGCGTCACGTTTTCAACGTGGTTTTAGACGCGATATGAGAATATAAAGTGTTAACCAGATACATTACAAGTGGCTACAAGTAACAAAACACAATTTAATACATAATTTGCAAGCTAGAGAAAACAAGGAGGCAACCATTTTAATCGCACTTAAGTTACTTACACTCAATGGACGAAAAAATTATCCATGAACTGTGTATTGTAAAGTTCCTGTCAAGTTCTGCAAAGTCCCATACATCAATAGTCTTTTTGAAGCACGAGTCAGAAAAATGACGGGAACACAGCACAAGGATGGGGCTATAATGCTGAGGTATTTTTGCTAAAATAAACTTCACTAAAATAGACTCTTCACAGCCTCATCTTTGCGTAGGGAAAAATAACACCAACTTTCCCTCACACTTCAGAGCACAGCGTCTTTGCAACATGATTCAACCAGGATCTGCTACAATATTTGTTTTCTTTCCACTGTGTTTGTGGGCAGGGCTGGGTTTTAAATTTTTCAACAAATGGGCGCGGCTTGAGTTCTGTATTGACACAGCTAAAGATTTGTTACCCTGACATTTCATTTAACCCACTATGAGTAGACTGTTTTATAGATTTAAGCCTTGTCTGGACATTTCACTTCACTTAGAGCTGTGTCACGCACTGCATGGAAGGTCATTTTCAAAAACCCATAATATGGGCTCTTTAATGTAGTTTTGAAATCAAGGTGACCTCTAGGTTAGAAAGTCATGTTTGATCAATCATGATCAAGTATTCCAGAGAGCCATGTATTAATATTATATAATGTAATTTTAAGTAAAAACCCCGCTTCAAATAATTTCTAAATGAAACGCCCCAACTCATTATTCCCTACATCACTTCATGACATGTCATTTCAGCTTTTCTTTGTTGCATCATTGCATCTGACGTGTTGTACTTTATCTCCCTTTTCCACACGTTTGCATCTTTGTCTCCATCTTTACATCCATTCTACACCCTCAACCCTTCCACCTATTCCTTTGCTTGTTCACTTAATCCACCGGTGTGTGGAAATCAGGAATTGTGCGGTTGGAGCAGAAGAACACCTCTCTGTTTGATAAGGATATCTTTGATGACGGCCCATATGAAGTTGGAGATGAAAACCGACTTGATGCAGAACTGGTCCCTGTTCCTGCTAACAGTTATTTAGGTGAGTCCATCATCACATTCCATTCATCATTCACATCACCCTAAAACTGATCCTGATCCCCTGAACCTTGGTTCATCGTGTGACTTTGTGTCACACTAAAGAATATTACTGTGATTTAGAAAATATAAACCTTTCAGTACAGTTAGCTTCAATCAGTTGATAGGATATGAGGTGTAGCATCGACAGATAATCTTCTTTGTAAGTCTGTGCTTTATTTGGTATCAATCTTGTTTGTGCAACTGTAGGTGTTCTGTTCTTGACTAGCATATCCAGTAACCATCCTGATCAGTTTGTGTATCAGTCACCTCCCCTTCAGGTGCCAAAGGAGAATGTTTCTTATGTGGCATCAAATAGCTATTTAGGTTTGTGGCGTTTCCTGGATGGCAACATTATTAGACATTTTGTCACCTTAGAATTATTAGGGTCTATCTGACATTTTTGTCAAAATTGAGTTATTGACATATTCTTGTTAATTGACAACTTATTTACATTATAGGATGTTTTTTTTTTACATAAGTTCTTTACATTTTAAGATTTTCTTATTTAAAAAAATAAATGTTACACACATACTGTTTGCTATGGAATGCAAAAACTTTTAACCTTAATATCTCAAAATCATTCAGAATGCAGATAGAACCTTATAATTCCAAGGTGATGATTTGTATACAGCCTGTCATCACATCAGTTGTTACACATCCTGTCAATTTACGTGAACAAATGTGAATGTACATTCATCTATGTTTTGACACTTATAAGCATGACTATTACTGTCTTTTTATTACTGTTTTTTTTACATTGATATTGCATGGAGAAAAAATATGGAGTATCCAAGTCAATCTGAATACACATTGTTAATGTGTTTAAACATTGCAAATTTCATCATTACTGAGTATGCATTTTTATACATACTGTGTAAAAATATTCATACTCACCTCTTTTTACATTTGTGACCTTGCACCACAAAATCAGTCGTTGTACTGGTCTATGTTTTGGAAATACCAAAGAATAGATTAGATGGATCAAAAATCTAGAAATTGTTTAGGAAGATTATTTTTAGATTTGATGCTTTAAATATATCAAAGCTTATATTTGATTAGTAATGTGCAATGCTAAGCAAATTATTTGGAGATTTAAAGGTTATTCTCATTATTTAGTACTTTTTGAACCCTCAGATTCCTCAGATTTTCATGTCAGCCAAATATTGCCCTCTCCCAACAAAATATGCATTAATGAAAAACAGATTAATAGAACAAAAATGACACTCATGACTTGGTTTGTGGTCCAGGGTCACATGTATAATGTCACAGCTTTGTTATTCAGCGTTTAATGACTTTTTACCCACATCAAACTAAACTCCACACACCATGAAGATGAAGCGAAAAGCTGCTTTATGATGACTTAGCAAATTTATTAAAATGGAAAAATGACATTGTAAAAGCATTCATGCCCTGAACTGAGTACTTGGTTAAACAGATTTGACAACAATTGGTTTTGATGTGGCAAGATTTTTGCAGATCTGGATTTGGAAGTTTTCTGCCACTTTTCTCTGTGTACCATCTCACACTCTGCTAGACTGATGAGGACTGTCAGTGGACGGCCATATTTAAGTTTGTGCAAAAAAGATGAAAAGAAGAAGTTTGATTGGGTTGAAGCCCAGACTCATGTTGGGATGACATTGTGCAGGGGTCTGGTTTCCTCATTATGCTCATGTCAGAGATGCTCGTTTTTCATGTTGCTCGTATCTGAGGTTCATCAGGGTTGAGAACCTTTTTTCTCACAGTCTGCAAGTTGTTTATAGGTGTCTTTACACATACTAAGCTGATTGTCATGTATATTAACTGAGGAGAAGCTTGGATCTAAACGCTCCTCCATAAAGACCAGCATTCTCATTTAAAAATGTGGCACAAGCACAAAAGACATCCCGCGCAAAAATTGGGATCTATAAAAAAACAAACTTGACAGGAGAATCTCTAAATAAATTTTGAGTAAACATACTCAGCTGGAATACTGAGTTAATTGAACCAATTTAAGTCATCATATGAGCAATAATAATTAATAAACAATGATAAATTTATTCTGGCTACATTCATTTTTAGGTAGGTTTCTACGCAAAGTTTATAAATGAAACCCCAGATCAGTGGAGTTTTGCATACATGATAATGTAGCACAACCAGAGCAACCATTAGCAACCCAGCAAGCATTTTATGTGTGTGTGTGTGTGTTAAAAAAAATGTATAATAGACATCCAAACATAGATGTCCAGGCTAAAACAAGGCCAAATGTGGTCTGTCAGTGAAAATCCAATCTAATAATAGTCAAAAAAACAGACTAGTCTTCAAATACACTGTGATGAATGACTACACGTGAGGTTTGTCTAATCTGTATTTTTAATGACTAGTCTATTTTTTGGCTGTTGTTAGATGTGTATTAGATGTATATTTTCACTGACAACTAAAATGTAGCCTTGTTGAAGCCAAGATGCCTATGTTTGGATGTCTTATTAAATGTCTTTTTTTAAATCATGGTGCGCTCAGACAAGCATCTCAACATAGCTCTTTCTCTCACCTCTGCAAGTTGTGATGTGCAAACTCAGCTATTAGACCTTATATAAACAGGTGTTTAACTATCCAAAGCATGTACAGTCAATTGAATTTGCCACAACCAATTATCATTATTAAGATCTCAAAGATGAGCTTGGAATGCTCTTGAGCTAAATCAAGTGTCATAGAAAAGGGTATGAAAACTTTTGCAATGTAACTTTATTTTTTATTGCCAAATCTGCTGACCCAGCTTAATTGGTTTTATCTGCTTCAGGTTTCTCTTTGGATTCTGGAAAAATGCTGACTAAGAGAGGTCAGTTGACCATAGTTGCTGGGGCTCCAAGAGCCAATCACAGTGGGGCAGTTGTGCTTTTAAAGAAGGATGAGGCTAAATCCTCCTTGTTGACGGCTGAGTACACCCTAGAGGGTAGTGGACTTGCCTCTTCCTTTGGTTATGACCTTGCAGTGCTTGACATCAATGGAGATGGGTAAAAATTATACATTATATTAATTTATTTTATTTTAATAGAAATTGGGATTATTTTGCCTTATTTGTATTTTTATTGATATTTTTGTGATTTAGCTTTGTGAGATTAGCTATGTTTATTTTTTTACTTTTTCATAATCATTTTAGTTATCAGTTTTGTAATGTTGTAATGTTCTTTTACACATCTTTTTTTTCTATATATGTTTATTTTAACCGAATTTTAAAGTTTAATTAATTAAAAAAAAAACATTTTTGTTTTATTTATTCATTTATTTATTTGTTTATTTATTTATTTATCTATTTATTTATTATTTATTCATCTTATCACATTTTTACAGCTTTATTAACAAAAGATCAATATAGTTTAATAGATGTACTGCAAGTTTTTTTTTTATCTATATTTTTAATATAATTTAATTAAAGTATTTCTGTGTTAATAACAAAACATTTAAGTTTTATTAACCTTTAGTTTTATAAATACACTATTCCAGAAGCATAATTATTTGAACTGATTCTTAAAACAGGTGGCAAGACATTGTAGTTGGAGCACCTCAGTACTTCATTAAAGATGGTGATATTGGTGGAGCAATCTATGTTTACCTTAACGAGGAAGGAGCTTGGGACAAGATTACTCCAAAGAGAATTGATGGACCTGCTTATTCCATGTTTGGTTTGGCTGTGGAAAACATGGGAGATGTGAATCTGGATGGATATCAAGGTATGTGTTCAGTATGTGTTATGAATACAACTAATGCAAACATATTAAAACATATCTTGCCACATGTTATTAAAGCAGAACCAATTGCACTCATTTAAATTATTTTTTAATGTGACCTATACTGTATCTTCAGATGTTGCTGTTAGCGCCCCATATGACAGCAATGGAGCTGGAAACGTGATTATCTTCCACGGTTCACCACAAGGACTGAAAAAATCCCAGGTGCAGCCATATATCCACTTTACTTTCTGTTTACTTATTGACACATTTTCCATACACTTTTTTATGAATGGTTCTTTGATAATTTAAGGTTCTTGGAGGAAAAGATCACAATGTGAAACTCTTTGGATACTCTCTTGCTGGGAACATGGATCTGGACAGAAATAATTACCCTGATCTGGCCATTGGATCTCTTTCTGATTCAGTGTTTGTGTACAGGTATGATCCTACTGATGGACAGGACAATACCATATTGATAATACAGTTTATTTAATTTAATAATATCATCAATCATCTTTGATCATACGATTTTATATTTTATTGAATATTTAATAATATTTTATTTTAAGATTTATTTATTATTATTTTATAAAATTGCATAGAGCAGCCACACATTCTTTTATTCATTGAGCACTGTAAAACATAATTAGTTTTCAGTTTTTCCTATTTTTTACAATTCATTTTGAGGCTGATCTCTGCTCTGACAAGCTTTGATGTTGAAAAGTTTAACAAAGACATTTTTATTAACATTTATTCATTTGAAATCATATTCTCTGCATTGGTCAAGTAAAAAATGGTTCACATGTATATACTTCTTTCACGATATAAAAATGTCAATAAAGGTCAATTTACACAAGTAAATAAACAAACACATGTGAATGAAAAATTGGTGAATTAATATTTTACAAAATCTTTTTTTTTTAAATGTACAGATAAAACATTTAACCTTAAATGCATTAATTATGTTGTATATACTATAGGTCGCGTTCCGTTATCAATATTGAAAAGACTGTCACCACCACACCGAAAGAGCTAGACCTCACTAAGAAAAACTGCAACAATGGAAACAATATATGGTGAGAAAACTATGAACAAAATAATCATTCAACATATTACTAAACAGAGCTTGTCTGAAGTAGATTTTGATTGTGTGTTCTAGCCTTGATGTGAAAGCCTGCTTCAAATTTTCTGTCAAACCCAAAACCTACAATCCAACTCTGAGTAAGTACATGTCTAACTTACTTATCAGTAAATTAATCAGCGGTTGTTCATCTCTGTCGAGCAGAAGATCATCTCCATATTATTTTTCCTCATCTTCTTTAGAGGTGGCATACACCATCAGGGTTGAATCTGAAAGGAAAAAACTAAATCTTCCTTCTAGAGTCATTTTTAATCCACGCTCAAACAATGATTATGAAAGCACTGGGATTGTGGAGCTCAAGGGTCAAGGCACAGAAAGCTGCATCTACAGAAATCTCATGCTGCAGGTACGAAACTTACTTAATAACAACTTAAGATCATATTTTCATTCGTTTCTATTTGTAATAATTGTCGTTATGCCTGTTTAAACAGCATGGTTGCTGTGATCTAGTTGGTTATGAGTTGGTTTAAGCTGCGTTTAGCTGGTCATGAGCTTGTTTAAGCTGGTTTTAGCTGTCAATGAGCTGGTTTAACTTGGATCTAGCTGGTTCTAGTTGGTCATGAGCTGGTTAAAGCTGCTTCTAGCTGTTCATGAGTGAGTTTAAGCTGGTTTAAGTTGTATCTAGCTGGTCATGAGCTGGTCTAAGTTGGATCTAGCTGGTCATGAGCTGATTCTAGCTGGTTTTATTTGGTCATTAGTTAGTTTAAGCTGGATCTAGCTGGTCTTGAGCTAGTTTGAGATGATTTTAGCTTGTCATGAACTTGTTTAAGTTGGGTCTGGTTATAAGCTGGATTATGATCTTTCTTTGTTGGTAGTGTGCTGGTTCTTGCTGGTCACATGCTGTTTTTTGCTGGTTTTTGATGGTCAGCAAAGACTCAGCATTAACAACCTCATGACCAGCAAAAATCAGCTTAAACCAGTATCTATGTCTCAACACCTAGATTACCAGCATATGCTGGGAAATAATGTAAAGTATCAATAAAAACGTTTTAAAATACAGCTTTTCATATAGGCTACATAGTAAAAGAACATTGTCCGAGTCACATAAAATTGATTACAAGAAATTAGGATTTCAGAAGTCACAATACACTCGCAAGCCACTTTATTTGCTAAACCTTGAACACTAGTACTGGATTACACCTCCTTTTGCCTTCTTTGTGGCATAAATTCAGCAAGGTTTTATACACATTCCTCAAAGATTTTAGTCCATATTGGCATGATAGCATCAAATAGCGGTTACAGATTTCTGGCATCAACTAGGCATTTTTTGCCCACAGAACTGCTGCTTACTGGATGTTTTCTTTTTTTTTAAAAACATTTTCTGTAAGCCTTAGATATATTTGTGTTTGAAAATGACAGTAACAACAACATTTTTAAAGTACCCGGTTCAGCAAAGTCACTTAAATCACCATTCTTTCCTGGTGCTTGGTTTGAACTTCAACAGGTCATTCCTTTTAAACACATCTATGTGCTTAAATGAAGTGAGTTGCTATCATGTTATTGGCAGATTAAATATTTGTGTTGAACATATTGAAATGGTTAGTAAGTGTAAATCTGGAGTGTCCTGGAGGGCCATTGTCCTTTAAAGTTCAGTTCCAACTCCAATCAGACAAACCTGGGCTAGCTAATCAAGCTCCTACTAGGCTTTCTAGAAACATCCCTGCCGGTGTGTTGAAGCCAGTAGGAGCTAAAATCTGCAGGACACCTGCCCTCCAGGACCAAGTTTTTTTTTTTTTTTTTTTTTTTTTTTTTATTTATTTTTTTTTTTTTATTGAACAAACAGGGATGTACAGAGTTGTACATAAAACAGTATACAATGGAATTAACAACAAAAATTAATCGTGTACATTAAGTATTTTCTCCAGTAGTTGAGATGTCTTAATAGCTTTGGTATTACTTTGTATAGCAGTGAGGGAATCATAAAAAAGTTTTAGATCAATGAAAAATAGTTTACAATTTGGTACAGTCAGCATACATTTTGTTTTGTGGATGTGATACTTTCCAAATAAAATAAGAATTTTTGCTATTTTGTCCATTTCCAGTAATCCAGAGTTGCAATCCGTAAAAAAAACCATTTGCTCAGTTATACTGATTAATTTATAAAACACTTCAAAAAGTAGTAAGGAAACTTGGGACCAAAACTGTTTTGTGTAACTGCAACTGAAAAATAAATGAAGAATTGTTTCCGGTTCCTTTTTACAAAAACAACACAATGGTGAAAAACCTTCCTTAAACTTACTTATAAAATCATTGCATGGATAATATCTATGTAATATTTTAAAATTTGTTTCTTTTACTTTATTAGGAATTATGTATTTTGTAATATCTGACCAGATTTTTGGGGAAAAGAAGAATGAAGGGAATGCTTGTTTCCATTTAACCATTGCAATTGGAGGAACACTTTTATCTGCAGTTAGGATATTCCTGATATAATTGTTATTACATTTTTTATCTTTGATAGAAAGGCCCTTAATAGTAAGCTCTGGGTGAGAGCCAGATACATGGTTATATATTTTTGCGGTTTTAATAAGGTGAAGTAATTTTGGGGAAATACAATGAACAAATTTTTTGTATTCAATCAAAGTAATTTTTAAACCAAAATTATTAATAAATTCATTGTAATCATATAAATCCCCTACACGATTTAATAAGTCTGTAACAAAAATTACTCCTTTTTTAACATAATCATTCCAAAATATGGACTTGTTTTTAAATAAAATATACTGATTGTTCCAGATAATACATGAGTGGGGGGAAAAGTTATGCTTATAAATCAGTTTCCATGTATTCAAGGCTTGTTTATGAAAATTTGACATCTTAATAGGAATTTTAGAACACTTAAAATCACAAGTTAGCAAAAAGTGTAGGCCACCACATTTTTCAAAGATAAGATTTGGGATAGAGAACCATAAGGAATTATTGTTATGAAGACAATTTTTGATCCAATTGATTTTAAAGATATTGTTAATAGTTTCGAAATCTAATGCATTTAATCCTCCTTCTGATATATTCCTAATTATTGTTTTTCTTTTAACATACTCTGTTTTGCCTCTCCAAATAAACTTAAATAAAACTTTCTCAATTGTGGTACACATCTTAGAATCTACATAAAGAGACAGTGCAGGGTATACAAGTCTGGAAATGCCTTCAGCTTTTGAGATCAGCACTCTACCTTGAATTGATAAATTCCTTTGAAGCCAGCAATTAAAGATATTTTTTGTCTTTTGTAGCCTTTGTGAAAAGTTGTCTGTAATCCGTTCTGAGGTTGATTTATTAACTACAATACCTAAATATCTTACTGTCTTTTTAACTTGTATTCCCGCTATACTTAAATCGTCTATTTGGTGTATAGCCATTATTTCACTTTTGGATTGATTAACTAATAGACCTGATGCATCAGAGAACAGCTTAAAAGCCTTCAAAATAACTGGGACCTGATCTTTATTTTTCAAAAATAAACAGGTGTCATCTGCAAGTTGACTGATAGTTAATGTGGTACCTCCTATTTCAATACCTTTAATTTGAGAACAATGTACAGTATAAAGATTTAGGGTTTCTGCAACTAATAAAAATAAAAATGGTGAAATTGGGCACCCTTGTCTTATGCCTCTCCGAATAATAAAACGAGAAGAAGTACCACTGGATAAAGAAACACTACTTGAAATATTATAATAAAATGTCTTCATCATTTTTTTAAATGTTGGGCCAAAACCAAAATAATTAAGTGTCTGATACATAAAACTATGTTCAACTGTATCAAAGGCCTTGTAAAAATCTAAAAATAAAATTAAAGCCTCCTCATTTACTAACTCTGAGTAATCCAACAGATCTAATACCAATCTAATATTATTTGAAATATTTCTTCCCTTCATAAATCCAGATTGGGAGAGAGATATGATTTCCTCCAAACATGGTTTTAACCTAGTAGCATATAATGATGCTAGTAATTTGTAATCGGAGTTGAGTAGCGTAATTGGACGCCAATTATCCAAGTAAAGAGTATCTTTATTCGGTTTTGGAATCAAAGTAATTACTCCCTGTTTCATAGATTCTGTAAGTTCTCCATTGGTAGCGCATTCATTAAACATGTTTAAAATTAAGTCTCTTATATCTTCCCAGAAAACTCTATAAAACTCAAAAGGCAGACCATCAGGTCCTGGACTTTTGTTGGAAGGCGTTTTTTTAATAATATCATCCAGTTCCCTTAAAGACATTTCCTCTTCACAAAGGTTTTTATTAATCTTACTTATGCAAGGAATAAAATGCTTTAATTTACTAAAAAAAAGGTCACTTGAGTCAGAGTTAAAATTAGATGTGTATAACTTTTGATAAAAATCTGAAACAAATTTTGAAATAGTCTTTTCATCTGTTACTACATTGTTATCAATATACAAAGAACAAATTTTTTTCGTTTCACCCCGTTTTTTTTCTAAGTTAAAAAAGTATGCCGAATTCTTTTCACCAGCTTCTAGCCATTTGGCTCTAGATCTAATAAAAGCCCCTTTTGCCTTTTCCATATAGAGAGTGTTTAGTTTTTCTCTTAATGTATATAATTTTTCTGTCTCTGTGTCAGATTGGGAAGTAATACATGCTAAATGATTAATTTCTTTTACTAAGGATTCATAATATAGTCCCTTAGAATTTGACAATTTTTTACTAAATTTGATTGAAAAATTGCGACACTCAAATTTTAATAATTCCCAGTTTAAGATATGAGAGTTGATTGTGTTTTTTTTAAAAGAGTCAATTATGCCTTTAATCCCCAAACAGTATTCAGAGTTTTGTAATAGAGAGGTGTTTAATTTCCAATATCCAGGTTTTCTTGATGAATTACAGATAAAATTTGAAATTTCTAGTTCAATTCCTGCATGATCGGTTAATGGGGCTGTGGAGATACTGCAAGATTTAACAGATGAAATCAAACTATCAGAAATTAACCAAAAATCTATACGTGATTTCTGAGTCAGGTCAGATTTAAACCAGGTAAAAGAAGAGGAAATGTCGTTGTGTAAAAGTCTATATATATCTACCAAAGAAAGATTAGAACAAATATCACTAATAATTTTATTGGGTGTATTATTGTCATATTTTGGAGGAAATCTGTCAAAGCAAAGGTCAGGAGCTTCATTAAAGTCCCCACCTGTAATGATTGTTGAGGATGGATATTTTATTTTTAAAGAAACTAGTTTAACAGTTAAATCTGAAAAGAACACGGTGTTAAGATTGGGCCGATTATAGCCGTATACATTTGTAAGAATAACAATGTTTTCTTTAAACTGAGTTACAGTGATTAACCACCTGCCTACATTTGAGCAATGCGATTCAAGTAAGGTGTTATTAAACTGTGGATTAAATAAAGTCATAACCCCGGCTGAGTTATTAGAACCATGACAAAACATAATTTTTCTCCCCCACTGGTTCGACCAAAAAGATTCATCTTTCACGTTTGAATGTGATTCCTGCAAAAAATAGACATCTCTGTTTTTTGATTTACAAAAAAGAAATAAAGCTTTACGTTTAGTTAAGTCCCTAATTCCCCTAACATTAAGTGAAAAACAAGACAAACTAAATGACATGAAATAACAATTTGAACGAGTTCTGAAACTATTCAAGTAGTAAAACTACTGTAGAAGAACGTCTTTTACAATTTAGAGTAAAGAAAAAAGATGAGTGCAACACTTGTCCAGACCTCCTCATCATAAACATATTTTCGATTTTCTAGTTTGAAAAAAGAACCCAACATTTAGCAAAAACAAAGAGAGTGTAAGTTTTTAACATTAGAAAGTGCAAGTGTGTCAGTTAAATATCGTCCACAGTGACTTTTTTCCCGTCAATGACAGCCGTGGAGCCCTGAAACCCTGCACGTTTACCTTCCAGTCTAGCTTGATTGACAAGCGGCCACAGTTTGTTCCGAGCATCTCTTGCACGTTGTGTCAAGTCCTCCGTTATTCTGATATTTTTTTGTTTGAGGATTTCGGAGCGCTTCGCGTCGGTCCAGATGAGGTCACGGTGCGTACGAGACATGAACTGCACAATGATGCGACGAGGATGTGTCAGATTTTTCTTACCGAGTCTGTGAGCAACGTCAATTGAGGATTGCAGAACATCAGTCAAACACGGTGAAACAAGCCGCAGTATTTCCATTACCTCCATTTTCACGTTTTCTCCTTCTACTTCAGGGATACCAGCAATCCGAAGATTCCACCGCCTTTTGTAGGTCTCAAGCTCGTCCAACTTTTGCCAGAGTTGTTTATTTTCTGTTTTTAAGGATGTAACTTGATCCTTTATCTCACTTGATTTGGCAACGGCTAAGTCAGCTTTGTTAGCAATCGTGTCTATTTCAGACACGAGTTCGGTGATGCGGCTCGAGTTGTTTGAAACAGATTGTTCAATTGCCACCAATTTCTCCAAAAAATCATCTTGTTTTTTGGCCAATTTTTCAATTGCTTCCAAGATAACTGCATTAGATGGATCGTCTGTGTGGCGTCGCATCTTTGCGTTTGGACTCTTCGTCGGAGTTTCAGGTAACGTTAGCGTTGATGAATCAAAATCTTCCTCCGTTGTTTTGGTATAGCTATGTTGTCTCTTTACTGCCAAAGCGTCTTCCATAGCAAGCTGAAATAACTTTTCCTTGTTTCTAGGCCTACGTTATATCAGATGGGTAACAAGCGAGCTACGTCAATGTTCATAAATCCACTTGTTGTACACACACACACAAAAAAAACACTCTTAAAAAGTAGGGTTCATAAGTATCAAATTCGTTACGCTATATTATTATTATTTTACAGTCATGAGAGCAAGTTAGGTCAAGAACTGCAGATAAGGTTTAAGAGCTACTAAAACCACGTCTTACATAGGCGCCATCTTGCCGCCTCCCCCCTCCAGGACCAAGTTTGAACATCCCTGGTGTAGATCAGTTCATGTTCAGTGTAGAATTGATTTACTGCCATCTAGTGGTGATGAAATCAATAGTTTTTTTTAAATATTCTGCATTGAAGGGATAGTTCATAAAACAATTTCCTTAATGTTTAAGCATTTCTTTCTTCTGGTGAACACAAAAAGACATATTCCGCAGAGTGATGTAAAAAGCAGCTATTGACATGCATAGTAGGAACACAAAATTATACTATATGTTTTTCCCCAATATTTTTCAGTATGTCTTATCCTCCAATTTTTCCAAAACTGTTAAAGTTACTTTCTTCTGTTGAACACAGGATAAGTAAATGATGACAAAATTTGTTATTATTTTTTTTTTAAAGGAAGAAATGAAGCTTTAGTAATGGAAAGGTATCACAATGCAAACAATGGATCATGCTATCGTTTTTCAGTAATGCAAGTATGTTATGTGTGTACAAAGGAAACCCTAAAAGACAAACTGAGAGGCATTCCTATTGAAGTGTCTGTGGAGATCCTGAATCAAAACAAACGCAGGAGAAGACAGGCTGCTCTCCCTAACCTTCTTCCCATCCTGGACTCGAACCAAGAAGCCACCACTGTGGCCATGGTAAAAAAATATATACAATATGTTCTAAAGCAGTTAATGATAATGAATTTTGTGACTTCTTTTTCAACTGTAAACCATAATCAGAATATGAATATATTTCACCTAATTTTTCAATGCTGAAGTAAACTGTTTATGGACCTGCAACACTTTTGTTTCATTAGCTGCAATAGTGTATTTAGAAAAAGAATATCACAAAAAACGGTTTACCTTACAAATCATTTTAATAAGTTGGACAATGCTATAATATGGTAAACAGAGGAGAATTGTAAAAACTAGACGTTTGTAAACCTTTTTTTTTTTTTAAATAATACACTTTTTTTTGAATATCATTAAGATATTTGATAAGGCTTTAAAGAGGAAAATGCAGTAAAAGAGTAAAATAATTACAATGTAAAATGAGGTTTCAATATTCTAAAATGCCTGTTTCAACATAATTACTCCCGTATTCAGTGTTGTGTTTCTTCAGAATTCATCCCTAAATGCTCACTTGGCACTAAAGAAATACTTCCTATAGCATTACAGCAGTTTTTTTTTTTTTTCGATTAAAAATATAAAAACCACTAGAATAGAGTTATATATTATATATTTATGCACTAACATTACACCAAACATTTTAAAGAATGCTAAAATGCAACGAAATAAGCTATTTTAAATAGCGTAATTAGTGTCATTAGTTTAACCCTTCTGTTGACGTACAGTAAGGGTCAAAAATGACCCGGGCATCATTTTAACAGCAGTAAAAAACATTACAAAAAATTTATAATTTTTACATTTAGGGTACAACGGTTGTCCTTTGTGTAAATTTTAATCCACTAATTATAAAACCATTTTTACATAACAAAATCTAGTGGCACAAATATCCTCATTCAAACACACACACTTTTTAAACACAAACACACAATAAAAATCTGCTGATTGAATTTTTGAAACTTTTTTCTGCAGGGATACTTTTAGCATGAGAAAATATACCCTTTATGTTAGTCAAAACCTAGTGTTGGCCACTAACAAAACATTAATTAAATTCTCCACACTAATGAGGGAAAACCCCTAGACATTTACAGAGTTTGTAATGAAGATCATGTTGTTTCTTCATGTAAAATAGATTTGAGGACTGAAATTAAATGTAGCTGCTTTATTTTAGAGGTTTAGTGAAGGTGGGTCATTTTTGATCCAAAGAGCAAACGATGTATACGGAATTTAAAGACAACAGGAAGGTTAACCATGCATTGTGAAGCCAATTTTTATTATTTTTGAAGAAGTCAAGATCATTTATTTTCATTCACTCTCTAATGAAAGAATTATGAATCTATAATATTGCTCAAGTAAATCCTCTGCTTTTTACTTGGAACTGAATTATACAGTACCAAAACCTGCAAACCATATACATAATTACACATCTAATCGGGTGTTAACTGAATCTTATTGGCCTTCAGGTTCAATTTATCAAGGAAGGATGCGGTGCTGACCATCTGTGCCAAAGTGACCTGCAGCTACAGTATAAATTCCACACCAGGGAACCAAACAAAGACAACTTCTTTCCCTTTGACGAGTGAGTTTTTATTTTCATTTTGTCAATATTATATCATATTGTTCATTCTGTATGTCAGAGTGGACTCCCTTCTTGTTCAAAGTACAAGCATTCGTTTTTATATACAGTATATGCAATTAGTGTGCTCTGGTTTCCCCCACAGTAGAAAGGCATGCAGTATAGGTGAATTGAATAAACTAAATTGCCCATAGTGTATGTGTGTGAATGTGTATGGCAGTTTCCCAGTACTTGGTTGCAACTGGAAGGGCACCCGCTGTTTAAAACATATGCTGGATAAATTGTCAGTTCATTCCACTGTGGCGACCTCTGATGAATAAAGGGACTAAGCTGAAGGAAAATGAATGAATGAATGAATGAATGATTATGCAAACAGCAACAGACAGTGGCATGTAAAATGTGTTTAAACTTCTGGAATTAACTGAACTCCTGTGAACAAAACCAGGACCCCCTTCCCTAACAACTGTATGTATTTTATCTTCTTATTGAATTATTGAATGCCCCCTAAATGTAAAAACTTCAATTTATATTTCTCACAGAGAAAAAGGAGTTCCTATCCTGTCTCTTAGCGATCAGAAGGAAATTGCCCTGGAGATTAAAGCAGTCAACCTGGGCGAAGATGCTTATGAAACACAGTTGACTGCCTCATTCCCCAAATCCCTCTCTTATTCTGCTGTTCGCACTCAGTCTGGTGTAAGTTCAACTGCAAGATTAACAAGTCATTAGTCTTTTTTTTTGTCATCATATAATATTAATGGGATATTCACCCAAAACTGTTTACTCATACATTACTTGTTCCAAAGCTGTTAGACTTCCTTTCTTCTGTTGAACACTAAAAAGATATTTTAAGGAAAGCTGGAAACCTGTAACTATAAACTTTCATAGCATGTAGAAATAATGGTTTTGAGGATTTAGCTTTGTTCAAAATGTTTTATATCGTGTTTAACAGAATAAAGAAACTCATTAAGGTTTGAAATCACTTGAAGGTGAGTAAATAGTGAGTACATTTAAATATTTGGGTGAACTATCCCTTAAAGAACGTGCTTGTCATAACTCCGGACTCTTTACAGGATAAACAGATCAGCTGTTTAGTCAATCAGAATGGCTCACAAGCAGATTGTGACCTTGGAAATCCATTCAAAAAGGATGCTGAGGTGAGCATCTCAAGTATATTTGAATACGTTAATTATGTTTTTGCCCATTTTGAATTTTTATTTAATATTAAGAACATATAAAACATGTTTTATTTGTACTGTAAGATGCTTTTGTATATAATCATGTGCTTGACTGAGGTGTTTGGATGTGAAACACCATCTATCAGGCACATAGCCAGCCTGGTGAATAGGGTGGTTCTTTTATCTCTAAAAGTGGACCTTTTTGCAGTTATTCACCTTATTCTTTATATTAATTATATTATTATTATTTTATATGCAGTTTACTGACATTTTAGCACTATTTTTAGCTGGATTAGCTTGCCGGATGGTCATCATAACCAAACTTTTTGAGGTATCAAAAACATTTGCAAAAATTTTTAGAAATAAATATATATTGTTTTTTTTGTTTTGACTGAAAGTCAGACTATAATTGTTTGCATTTATTGGAAGCCTTTTTGATGCCTTCACAGTTTATAATTGTGTAGCACTGAAAATAAGACAAATGAGCTCATGTATGGGACAAATCCTTTTATCAGTCGGTGGGTGGCTACAGGCTACGGGCCTGAGTTATAGTATTACTCTAACTTCTGCAGGTCAGATTTTCACCACAGAATGAGTGTTTATTAGCTCTCAGAATGACTTATACTTTTGCTAATTATTATTTTAATTCAGTTGTTAATTTCACTTTTCATTTATTGTGAATTGTAAAATGTTTTTCCTATCAATAGTTTTAGTGGTCACTAAAATAATAACTAAAACAGCTAGTTTAATTTATGTTGTGGCCTTTACATTAATAATAATAATTATTATTTCTGTTTCAGACAACATTTTACATTATTTTGAGCACGGGAGGAATTTCTTTGGATACCACTGAAATTGAAATCGACCTTAAACTCAAAACGTGAGTAGTAACTCTTGACAAAAGCATCATTTTAATTCAGTACATTAATTTACCTTTAACATATCAGGATTCATAGACTTGTGCTTCTGTTCCATCTAAATAACTCTAAATATTGAACTTTTTTTCAAAGGAATGAACTGATCTGAATGCACTTTAAAAACAATCTCTACTGACTTCTATAAAAAATGTATGTGACTTGAAGTGTTGTAATTTGCAGGACAAGTGAACAGAAGCAATTGCAAGCAGTCAAAGCCAAAGCCATTGTTAAGATCCAGCTGCTGTTGTCCCTCTCAGGGTAGGTTTGCTAACCGCTATCATTTTTTTGGTTTGTATTATCAATGTTCTATCTTTGTAACTTCAACTTTCATCATGTATTATCTGCAGGGTAGCCAAGCCATCTCAGGTCTTCTTTACTGGAGAGGTTAAAGGAGAGAGTGCCATGAAGATGGCAGGTGATGTCGGAAGTCCAATTGACTATGAATTCAGGGTGAATATTACACTGCAAAAAATGCCCTTTTTTGAACATAGATCTTACATTTAGTTAAAGCATTATAAGAAAATAAATGACGAGCCCGAGTCAGAATGAACCCAGAACATTCTTAAACTCAATCTTTTTATATAGTTTTAGTTTACTGCATTTAGATGTAAAGGAAGTGGCTCCTTGGTGTGTTCTGGACGTTAATGCATTTCAACACCCTATTGTCTTGTTTTCTGTGTCCCTCACCAATTCTACAATTGGTAACAATTTACTCTAAATGTGATCATCTTAAATAGTGCAGATACAATAAACTGCTGACTTCTCTGTCATATTTCAATCCTTTTGGGAAATGATCATCAACACATTTTAGAGTGAAAGTTGGTTGCAGTGAATTTTAGAATACAGTTTAAGATTTTTTTTATATTTCTCTTTAAATCTCTAAAGGGTCTTGCCCCACCTTATCTCTGAGCTCATGCACCCCTATTAGCCCACTCGTTCTCTTAGGTCAGCTGATCAGGTTCTCCTGATTGTACCATTTAGAAGTGTAAGTTTAGAGGAGATTGTGCTTTTGCTGTGGTAGGTCTTAGACTTTGGAATTATTTGCTGCTGCCCATTAGACAGGCCTCTTCCATGTTCTCATTTAAATCAGCTCTTAAAACTCTTTTTTTCCTTGGCATTTGACAACTGATGTTGATAACTGGTTATTTTAATCCATATGCCTTTTTAGGTAGTTTAGCTTTATTTTAATCTTGTATTTTGTGTATTTTATATACTAATATGCTTATTTTGTTGTATATTTCTGTACAGCACTTTGGCTCACTTCTGTGTTTTTAAAATTTGGGTCGAGGCAAATAAATTACTTACAGTATAATAAAATTTTTTTTTTAACGAATTCCTACAAACAAAAAGAATATCTAGTCTCTAATAAATACTATTGGTCCATAAAACAAGAAAAAATTGCTTAAAACTGTTACGTTTTTTAAAAATGTCATATATTAAGCAATTTTAGTAAAAAAATATAATCAAAACAGCAATATTTTGGAGAGGGTGCTCGCTGCAGAGCCATTTGAGGAGAGCTGAGCTCCAGCGAGGGGGAGCATGAGCTGTCGCTCCTCCTCCTGTAAGCTGTTTTAATGTGTACACCAAGCCCACCCCTAACCCTACCCCCAGTGACATCACTCGTAGAAGAAGTGCAAAAAAGGTGGAGCTCAAGCTTAAGCTCCTCCTCGCTGGAGCTCAGCTCTCCTTAAATGGCTCTGCAGCGAGCACCACTTGAATATTTGATCTAAGATCTTGATAGAAAAAAGACTGTTGGGTCTTAAAAGCATACCATTTTGCCTTACAAGCATAGACAATGCACAGTTTGGTGCACAGTTTTGGTGAAGACTGCATTAAAAGCAAACAATTAACTGCAAGATGAACAGTAATTCAATTCAATCAATTCATCTTTATTTCTATAGTGGTATTACAATGTAGATTGTTTCAACAGTTTAACATAGACGTTCTAGTACAGGGGTGGCCAACCCTGTTCCTGGAGAGCCACTTTCCTGCAGATTTCAGTTGCAACCCATATCAAACACACCTGGCTGTAATTATCACGTGGTGTTCAGGTCCTAATTAATTGGTTCAGGTGTGTTTGATATGAGTAGCAACTGAAACTTGCAGGGAGGTGGCTCTCCAGGAACAGGGTTGGCCACCCCTGTTCTAGTAGATTAAAACTGTGTCAGTAGAGTTTTCAGAGTTGAAGTTTGATAACAATAACATAAAATGAGATAACATTTCTTTAAAAATATGCCATATATATATATATATATATATATATATATATATTCTATTATTATTTTTTTTGGACTCTTAGATTCCTTATTTTCCTAACCTTAAACATCATACTTTTTTGTTTGTGGTTTTGCATGCATATATTAAATTACATTCTAACTGTCGTACTTGCCTGTTATTATTATTTTGTTATTATTTTGTCGCCAGGTTACAAACTTGGGCAAACCCCTGAAGTCTTTCGGCAGGGCGTCTATGATCATCCAATGGCCAAAGCATAACTCTCAAGGCAAATGGCTGCTGTATCTTATGAAGATGACATCAACCGGCTTAGACAGCTTGAGCTGCACCAACTCAGATGAGGTCAACAAACTCGGTTTAAAGGTAGCTCTTGATTCAGTCAAAAAGATTATTATACTGTACATACATTTTTCTCTTGTTTCACAAATAAATCAGCTGCCTAAGAAGTGACCTGATCACATGTTCTGCTTTTTGATCATCAAGGAGCTTTCAGTGTCAAGAACTAAACGTGAAGTTGGGGAAACTTCAGCAGCAGAGGGAAAAACCGCCTTTTTTACAGATAAAAGGAAATACACACTTTTGGTAAAGTCATATAAACATTAAGTAAACATTGCTTCTGAAGTAAAAGACTAGTAGTTTTGATCAGATTTTTTTTTTTTACATTAGTCTACACTAGATCTCCCATAATGACTGATATCTTACAAATGTTTAACACTAATGTACTCTTGGGGAAGTTTTCATCTACTCTGGGGTGATTTTGAGTCTTAATTTGGCCATAATTTTTTCTGTGTTTCAGCTAGCAAAATTATATTGGTGACGGATATTTTAAGAAAATGCTTTGACATTTTTAAAAAACTCAACAATGCACTTTTGGCAAATTTACTACCTATTTGTGTTGTTAGGGATGAAAACATCTACTGAATTAAATTGCTGTAAAAGTTCATTCATTCATTTTCTGCCGCCTTTCTGGGGCCAGGTTGTGGGAGCAGTAGTCTCAGGAGAGAACCCCAGACTTCCCTCTCTCCCTTTCGGTCATGACCCATAGATGTGAGCAGGAATGTAGATTGACCTGTAAATCGAGAGCTTTGCCTTCCGACTGAGCTCTTTCTTTACCACAATGGACCAGAACATTGACCGCATTACTGCTGTTGCTGCACCAATCCGCCTGTCAATCTCACATTCCATCATTCCCTCACTCGTGAACAAAACTCCAAGATACTTAAACTCCTCCACCTGGGGTAAGGATTTTCCTCCAACCTGGAGAAGCGCAAACCAACCTTTTCCGGTGGAGCACCATGGCCTCGGACTTGGAGGTGCTGATTCTAATCCCAGCTGCGTCACACTTGGCAGCAAACTGCCCCAGTGCATGCTGAAGGTCCATATTCGATGAAGTCAATAGAACAACATCGTCTGCGAATAACTAAGATTAAATTTTGTGGTCCCCAAACCGGACACCCTCCTGCCCAAGGCTGCACCTTGAAATTCTGTCCATAAAAGTTCTGAATTGAATTGGTGACAAGGGGCAGCCCTGCCGGAGTCCAACATGCACTGGATACAAATGTGACTTATTGCCGGCAATGCAAACAGCAATTTTTTCAGCAATTCTTAAATTGCTGTAAAAATGCATCAGATAATTTTTTCAATTTGTTTAGCATAAATCAGTTAGTCAACCTCAGCCCTGATCAAAACTACTAAATTGCTTAAAATATGACAGGATTCTCTTTAATTGCCAAATTCACAAATTATGTCACTGACATGGTGAAAGAACACACAAAATGACGTATTTTCAATATAAAAAGCTATTGTGGACTGGATTTTTTACCTTTTATCAAGGTTTTGGACATGTAACACAACATTGCCTGTGATGCATTGTTTTTGATTGATTTTCATTTTTCTCCTTAATTTACTGTTGGTGGCTGTTTTTGCCCCAAAAAGCTTAGTTTATGTATGGTTTTCTCTCGTGTGTAAGAATATATTGAATTCTTTATTTAATACAAAATTATAAACAGCACATTTTATTGCTTTAAACAAAACCATATTTCCAAATCACACAATGTTTTCATCAAAAACAAATACATTATTTTCAACCCAACACAGCATATTTTTTACACTCCGAATGACTTTAAACTTGTCCAACATTTTCATTGACATATTAAAAAGTTAAATCATGCCTTATTCTTGCTCTTTAAAAAATCTGATCAATTTTGTAATTGGTATCATACAAACCCTTGTGCCTCCTACTAATGTATGTCACCATTATTGCTTGTCCTAAAATAAAATTTAGCAGACGCCCTTTTTCTTTTTTTCGGTATTTGTGTGTGAGAGTGACCTTCGGGAACTTATCTTGATGTGTCTGAGAAAATCTAAATATGCATCTCAGCGTTCAGAACTTCATGGAGTAAATAAAAACGAAGACTGCATATTTATGCACCATCAAATGTGGTTATAATGGAAGTCAGTGGTGCAAAAACAGCCACAAACAATAAATTAGAGAGAAAATTTAAAAATCTAACAACGCATCAAAGCCAATGCTGTTACTAATCGTTCCATGTCCAAGACTGTGATAAAAAGTAAAATAAAATCTATTCCACAATTGCTTTTTATATAAGAAATACATCAATATTTGTGTTTCCACCAAACCAGTGGCATCATTTGTGAACTTTGAAATTAAAGATTTAAAATCCTGTAATTTTTAAAAACATTTAGTAGTTTTGATCAGGACTGAGGTAGATTAACAAATTTATGCAAAAAAAAAATTAAGAAAATATTTTTCTGAGTAATTTTTTACAGCAGTTTAATTCAGTGGATGTTTTCATCTATAACATAACAAAATTATAGTCAATTCGAAAAAAAAAAAAAGAATCATTCAAACCCTAAAAAATATGTATATTAAAAGTGATAATTCACCCAAAAAATAAATATGCACTTCGCCTTTCTCAAGTGATCCCAAACCTTCATGAGTTTCTTTTTTTTTCTGTTGAAAGTTTACCGAAATGCTAATGGCTACCAGTTTCAAACATTTTTCAAAATATCTTATTTTGAGTTCAGCAGAAAAAAGAAACTCAAATAGGTTTAGAACAAGTGAAGGGTCAAAAAAATGATTGTTAATGTTATCCCTTTGAGGCTCCCACATGAACACTGAATGTGTCATAATGTATATATATGGTCAATGTTTCTCACTAATAATCATCCTCTTGTTTCTAATCACCTTTCAGTCATGTGATGATGGTGCGGAGTGTATAACTTTCATATGTCCTCTCACGGGAATGGACAGCAATGCTGTTATTAGTCTGCGTGCTTACCTTTGGAATGCCACTTTCCTGGAGGTGAGTGGCACTCTTGATTTTGTGATGTATTAAAACCTATTCACATTTAATAAATGTATTCAAAAACACCTGAAAAAATGCAATCATAGTTACTGTAACTTTGAGACAACTTTACTTCATGAGCAGATTTTACATTTATGAGTCATAATTACACAGACGTACACAAGTTTAGGTGTCTATGGGGACTGTTTATAGATGTAATGATTTATTTACTGTTCATACTGTAAATTCCACCCCTACACATAAACCCAACTCTCACAATAAACAATCTGCATTCATACATTTCCAAAATACTTCATTCTTTGTGATTAATGAGCCAAAAAATGTCCAATTTTACCGGCACTGCTATACTTGGGTGGACATTTGGTGACCACAATGTAATAAATACAAGGCTCACACAGAAAATTATTTTATTCTTTATTCATTTTCTTTTCGGCTTAATCCCTTTATTAATCAGGGGTCGCCACAGCAGAATGAACATTCAACTTATCCAGCATATTTTACACAGCGGATGCCCTTCCAGCTGCAACCCATTACTGGGAAACACCCACACACTAGCATTCACACACATACACTACGGACAATTTAACTTACCCAGTTCACCTATAGCACATGTCTTTGGACTTTTTTTGGGGAAACCGGAGCACCTGGAGGAAACCTACGACAACACGGGGAGAACATGCAAACTCCACACAAAACACCAACTTACCTAGCCAAGGCTTAAACCAGCCACCTTCTATTTGTGAGGTGACAGTGCTACCTACTGTACCACCGCGCCACCAATAAAACACTTATTATCATATACTTATTTAAAAAAAATATCTTTTTTAATTGTACAATTGCATTTTATTTCAACATTTATTTATTTTTTATTTTACATTTTATTCCTTTTATTTTACTTGGGTAATTGCAATTATGATTTTATATCTCATCTTGAAATCTTGAAAGTGCCTGCTTTTTTTCTTAGAATTGCATGGAAAAACAAAATTATGAGAAAAACAAAACTCATTATCTAATTTATCACTTTTTTAATTCTGTGGTGAGAAATAAATTTCCTTAGTTTACAAAAATGATTTCTTGATATTTTAATCAATTATTTTTATTTTTTAACATTAGTACAGACGGAAACGTTCTGAAAAACTTGACACTAGTGTTACAAAGCACAAACCACATGTATTTTTTATTTTGTTCATCCTAGACAAAATGTTTGCTAATGTAGACTATATATCTTACAGGATTATGCAAAATTGAACTACGTTGATATTATTGCCAAAGCATCACTTGATTTCAAGACCACAGCTACAAATATACAGCTGAAGAATGAGCCATCTCAGGTGAGGATATTCACTGCATTCACTGTTTTGATTCACTGAGTCTTTTTCTATCAGCTTGACTTTATACTAAACTCCATTCTTAAGTAATAAATGCATTCCAAAAATCTATCGATCCTGTTCCAGGTACGCGTTACTGTATTTCCAGAACGCAAAGTAGCACAGTACGGCGGTATGCCCTGGTGGGTTATACTGGTGGCCATTTTACTTGGACTCCTCTTGCTGGGCTTACTGGTCTTCCTGCTTTGGAAGGTAATCTCATTTGCAGATTCAAGAAAACTATTTTAATGCTTATTTTATTGAAAACTGACCAAATGTTTAACATATTTGTATCATTTTGTATTATTTTCCTGCTGAAGAAAAAAAAAAGATATAGAAACCATGACAGGATCTTGTTGTCCCTATTGCAAACATTTAAACAGCCTTAAAGGGATGGTTCACACAAATAAATGATAATTTACTCACCGTTTACTTACCTTCAAGTGGTTCCAAACCTATGAGTTTCTTTCTTCTGTTAAACACAAAAGAAGATATTTTTAAGAAAGCTGGACATTTGTAACCATTGACTTCCATAGAAGAAAAAACAAATATAGTATTTGTTTTTTTTTTCTACTATGGAAGTCAATAGTTACAGGTGTCAACCTTTCTTCAAAATATCTTCTTTAGTGTTCAACAGAACAGAACAGAAAGGCGAGTAAACAATGACAGAATGTTCCGTTTTGGGTGAACTGTCCCTTTACAGCCAGTAATGCTTAATAGTTTCTAGTGTTTATTGGATTATATTCTATTAAGACTAATTGTTTTTAACACGGATCAAAAAAGACCAGACCCAGAATAACATTGTAGTTATATTATTAATACTTCTGTCATGGTTTCTATGTTTATTTCTCCAGCAGGGTCATGTGACTAAGTATTTAAAACACAACCTTTACCCCTTTTAGTGTGGTTTTTTCGGCAAAAGTGGCAAAGAACCTGAAAAAGAGAGACTGACTTCAGATGCATAGAGAAACAGAGAACAAGAACCTCTCTCTTAGGGTAAAAAAAACCCAACAACCTCAGATCAAGTCTGCCTGCGTGCTCAGAGCTAGCATGAAGAGTTGGATTAGCCCATGCTAACCCACTGTAGTCTGAAGCACATGCCTAGATGTGGGTAATGGTGGCAGTTTCCATGGCTTACACTGCTCAGACATAAACAATGCTATGAGGAATGCAAACTAATCATGTATGAAGTCGTCATTGTTGGAAAAAAAAAGGGTTTATACATGTTTACACGGCTTCAGCTGCGTGTGCCTGAGTATGACTGAATGTTTGAGAGTCTATAAACGCTTTCAGAGGGATAGTTCACACAAAATGTAAAACAATTCTGTAATCATTTACTCAAACGTCACTTTTAACAAACCTCTTTGAGTTTCTTTTTTTCTTTAAAACACAAAAGAAGTTATTTTTGAAAAATGGCGAAATCCTGTAACCACTGACTTCTATTGGCTTTATTCTGAAATGTGGATGTGCGCTTGTTTTTGCGCTTGTTTTAGAACTTCAGTTCAATTGCCTTTGAGAGAAATGACTAAGAATAATGAATGGCATAAAACAGTCAAACTACTTGCTTTAGAAACAAATGTGACTATACAGACAAAGCAGAATGATATATTGAGAAAATATCAGTTGTTAATCTGTTTTTAATGTCTAGAAATGAATGGAAGTGAATAAGACTGCAGTCTTGAGCCAAAGAGATACAAATGGCTGTGCCTACTCATTCGAGAAGAATGAGGTCAATAGTGTTTGCTTTTCCTATTATGGACATCAATGGTTGCAGGTTTCTAACAGTAAAAAATAGATATCTTCTGTTGTGTTTAACGGAAAAAGGGAACTCATAAATGTTTGGGAGCACTTGAGAGTGAGTAAATAGTGAGTAAATGTTCATTTTTGGGTGAACTGTCTCTTTAAGCCTTCAGATTTGGCTTAATTTGGGATCTTGCGCATTTGTTTGGCCTGCTTCGGTTGTTTATAGTAGCCTCTCTTTCGCTTTAAGCATATCTGATTCTTGCTTACCTATGTTCTTTAAAACATTAAATGTATTGTTCTTTCATCATGCTAGGCATGCTCCACACACTGCAAACAACACTACAGTATATAGCTTTATTTGTGTAGACATTATGCTGTTTAGCCTTGTTAGCATGCCGCTAATTGTCTTCTTTTCTTAACAGTGTGGATTTTTCAAACGTTCTAAGTATGATGACAGCGTGCCCAGTTATAATGCTGTGCGGATAAAGAGAGAAGAGAGGGACAATCTGTCAGGCAAAGACGAAATGGATTCTTCAGAGAAGAAACAATGGATGACTTCTTGGAATGAAAATGAGAGCTACTCATAGCTAAATGCTAACCTATTTGAAAGCAAACCCAAGACTCCCTTGCTGAGGTTTTAATGCTTACTTTTGCACACACTCAACTCTTTTTTTCTGTTATTATTCCATCAAATTGCAAAAGGAAACATTAGAGCTTTTACTTCGATGTATTGAGTTTCAAAGATTGTATTTTAAAAGTGTGTCTAAAAGACACGATGAACGAGGATTTAAAAAGATTACTTGAGTTTCAAGAGAATTTGCTTTCATGTTCCGCCCCATTTCAATTTGCTTCTCATTCATACATGTGTATATACATCTAATGTATTTATTCTCAGCAGATATTTCTGTTGAACAAAGGCCAAAGATTTTACATTTTTGTTTTGTTTTATGAAAGACTTTGTGTGCGTCAAGACTGCTTGGTTTATACTTTTTTGATATCTAGCAAGAAAAAAAACTGCCTGGATGTATGTAAATAATTTTGTCGTTTGATTTTTTAAAAAATATTTGTGTTGCCTAATTGTTTAAACCAATCAGGTACATTTCATTTCATAGGTTTTTCACTGTACTTAAACTACTTCAACTGGGACAGATTTTAATGAGGAACTACTTTGTAATTATCAGATATTTGGTTTAATATCATTTGACCACTATCCTTAATCAGTTCAGCTTTTAGGTGTTTCTTTTATTTTTTGAAGGTCATTTGAAAATGTCTTTGTATAAATGTGAAGTTCCTTTTATTTTTGAAAACAGCACCTTTTGGCAGTGCAAATGCTTTTATGACAAAACGTTCATTCTTTTGTTTGTAAAGTGACACTGAATTGGACAGCGGTGATTACAAATGTTTTTACAATTTAAAAAATGTATTAACTCACATGAAATACACTGAAGTAAAGAAATAGATTATTAAAGATTATTTTCATTTTTGAAATAAACATTTTGCTGGCCCTAAATTTACATGAGAGGTTTACATTTTTGAGTTAAACTAGCTAAAGCATAAAGTTTTTGGGGTTTATGTCAACTGAATTGGGTAAAACTAAACTGGCTGTAGTGTATTAGTTTCTTTATGAATGAGAAAGTGTATGGGCCCTATCATACACCCGGCGCAGTGGGGCGCAAGACGCGGCGCAATAGTCTTTTGGTAGTTTCAGCTTGGCGCAAGAGTCGTTTTGAGGCGTTGCGCTACGCTGTTTAAATACCAAATGCATTAGCGCTCATTTGTGCGCCCATAGGCGTTCTGGTCTAAACAGGAAGGCTGGGTCTTAAAGGGAATGGGAGATGAGACTCTAATTGGTTTATTCTGAAAACACCTATAACTCATTAAGAAAATAAACTCAACCCTTTTAGACCAAGACAGATTTCCCGTCCTTAAATTAGCAAAAACGCGTCCTGACACGCCCTGAAAGCGTTTGCGCCCTGCGTTTTGCGCTCTGCGCATGGACCGTCAAAATAGAGCCCTATGGGTATTTCCCAGTGCTGGGTTGTGGCCGGAAGGGCATCCGCTGCGTAAAACATACACTAGAGTAATTAGCGGTTCATTCTGCTTTGACGACCCCTGATGGATCAGGGACTAAGCTAAAGGAAAGTAATTGAGTGGGTTTTGTCAGCTGGGAATTTGAATAATCTCTCTACAGAATGTGCTTTTGAGACAAACAGGAAACAATATTGCAAATAAATAAAACAAAAGAAGACCAATATACTGTAGTAACCTCACATAGAGATTTCACAACCAGCAGTCAGGGATATACAGTTGATGTCAGAATTATTAGCCCCCTTTTGAGTTTTTTTTTTTATACTTTTTTAAATATTTTCCAAATGATGTTTAACAAAGCAAGGGATTTTTCACAGTATGTCTAATAATTTTTTTTCTTCTGGAGAAAGTCTCATTTGTTTAATTTGTCTAGAATAAAAGCAGTTTTTAAATTTTTAAAACCATTTTAAGATCAAAATTATTAGCCCCTTTAAGCAATTTTTTTTTCGATAGTCTACAGAACAAACCATAGTTATACAATAACTTGCCTAAATACCCTAACCTGCCTTGTTAACCTAATTAACCTACAGTAGTTAAGCCTTTAAATGTCACTTTAAACTGTATAGAAGTGTCTTGAAAAATATTTAGTAAAATATGATTTACTGTCATCATGGCAAAGATAAAATAAATCAGTTATTAGAAATAAGTTATTAAAACTATTATGTTTAGAAATGGGGACGCAGTGGCGCAGTAGGTAGTGCAGTTGCCTCAGCAAGGTCACTGGTTCGAGCCTCTGCTTGGTCAGTTGGTGTGGAGTTTCCATGTTATCCTGACGTTCACAAGACGTGGGGTCCAAAGACATGCGGTAACTGGGTAGGCTAAATTGTCCGTAGTGTATGTGGGTGAATGAGTGTGTATGGATGTTCCCAGAGATGGGTTGCAAATGGAAGGGCATCCGCTGCGTTAAACATATGCTGGATGAGTTGGTTCATTCCACTGTGGCAACCCCAGCTTAATAAAGGGACTGAGCCAAAAAGAAAATGAATGAATGAATGTTTAGAAAGTTTTTAAAAATATATTTTCTCCGGTAAACAGAAAATGGGGAAAAATAAATAGGGGGCTAATAATTCAGGGGGTCTAATCTGACTTCAACTGTAAATATTAGGATGAACAAACAATGGGCATTATGAGCACAGAGATTTAATCAAAAACTTTGAAAGAAAAAAAATTTAAATCTCTATATAAAATATACATTTAAAAAATCTATAATTTTTTTATGATGCTTTTTACAATGTAGATTGTGTCAAATTAGCTTAGATGGAAAAAATAGAAAAAGCCATAATATTATAGTAGGGTTGTCATGAGACTTTAAAAATGTGCATTTCTCGTTAATCTTTGAGGATGTTCTTAAACAATTCTAATTTGCCATTGTGTTTACTTGCTCAACAGACATGACTATGTTTGGCCGTGAAGGTCATCAGTTTTACCAAACTCACCGAACTTTGCTGAGTTTAATCACAGATACAGGGACACTGGAGCGTTTCAAAATCATGTTGGTCAGCTGGTTTGTCTATAAGCTGACATATGAACGATTTGTTGATGAATCGCTGCTTTAAAACGCTGCACTGTAACAAAAAAAATATGCGTTAATGTTAATTTACGTACTTTGTTTTATTTTTTTGGCTGCTGGGGTCTATATGGGGTGTCTGCAGACTTGGATCCAGGCAGTTTTACGACCCAGTTTTACGCCCCCTGTTGTTCCTAATGCGTCCAGTAGGGGGGATAAAAGATACATGGCCAAATAATACATTTGAAGTCAACGCTCCCAGATTATTAAATGTCTTGTTCATAAATATATATTTTTAATTAGATTACACTAGATATAAACACAAAGTTAATGTATCAGAATGTGCGTTATAAACTCACTAGATAATATGCAGAATTGATACACCGAATAATTTCAGATTTGAAAAAGCCCAAATGCAAATAAATTTAGATTCATTTAATAAGAAAAATTAAAAACACAAATAGTTGGAAAGTGTAATGGCTAATTGTAGCCTAGTTATACGTTTTCATATAGAGGTGCATTTTGTTGTATTGTTTTTATATAAAGTTGCATTTTGAAAATAACAAAATTATAACCAAACAATACAGTGTAATGTGATGTGCTCTGATAAGAATGCAGTGGTATTGACTACCAGACAGCTGCAGAACATTTAGACAAACAGTTTACTAATTTCTAAAATTCCAAGGACCATTTAGCTACATGACAAACAAAACCCAGACAACATTAGATTTTTTTTAAACATTTATTTATTGACAACAATATCACTAGAGATTGCCAGTTTTCTTTAAATGAAGCTGAATCCTTGCATCAAATTCTTTATGCTCACTAAAAAAATATATATATATATGTATAAATACTCTGCAAAAATCATTTTCTTAAGAATTTCTGACTTGTTTCTAGTCCAAATATCTAAAAATTCTTAATCTTTAAAAACAGTAAGGAATAGAAAATGAAAAAAAAAAAAACATTTCATGCCATTTTATATATTATCTGGACCTATGCAAACATATCAATTTTTTTTATTATTTTTTATTTGATTTATGATTTAAGAATTATAACTTAAGGTGTAACAAAAGGACCAAGTCCTTATTTTTTATATTTAGTTATTTACAGCTACAAATTGTGATCCTGACTTTCCCATATTTAACATATTAGATTATTTTATTTGTAACAAATTGTTACAATAAATATTATGAAACAATAAGTGATAAACAATATGAATGCATGTACAATGCAAACTTCATTGCTAATATATAAAATGTACTGTATAGCTATATGAACAAAAATTAGTAGACCATTTATAATTGGGAGTTTCTCTACGCATTTATAGATATATGATAGTTTAATTGTTTAAACTAGAACAGGATTGCATTATATTAAATGTAATTAAGTGCAATGCAATTTTAAATTTTAAAATAAAATCAATTTAATTTTCAGATCTGTTTAGATTTATTTCAATATGTAAGAAAGTCAAATTTGGAGGAATAATGTAGTGTAGTTGTATAGTGTATATTTGGCTGACTACCCAGACCACGCAAGTGGTCTAATCTATAAGAAAATATATATCTTTAAATAGTTAATAAATATATAATAATTACTCCCTTGCTGAGACGAAAAAAAAAAAAGAAAATTAGCCTACATAAGACACTTTCTTATGTAGGTTATTGTTCTTTTACTTTTTTGTTGATGTAGAACATGTAGCTAGCCTGCACATAGTTTGCTAAAATTGAGTCAAACTAACACATTGCTGTTATATTACACCAATTTGTTTGTGACATACACTCATATCGACCTTAATCCAAAAAAAAAAAAAATTAAGTTTCATGTTTGATAATGTTTTAAACACGTATTTAACATACCTCTTCATCGTGTCGCATTTGGTTGGGTGTGATAAAGTTCCGAAGGCTTATAATAATACTACCTCTACTGGACGCATCAGGAACAACAGGGGTTTAAAACTGTCTGGGCCGTAGATCTGTCTAGATCCAAGTCTGCAGTGTTCCCCTCCTCGCTGGGGTGGCAGAAAAAAAAGTGTAAAATAATGGTGTTAAATAACAAAAATTTACCATAGAATAACAGACGTTAAATTACAGAAATTTAAGTAATTAATTAAAATATAAATAATATTTAAGTAAATAATTCAAGTACATTTCTGTAATTTAACGGACATTATTTTTTGGTAGATTTATGTAATTTCAAGGCTGTTATTTTACGTTTTTTACCTGGCACCCCAGCTGTCAGAAAAAAAAAAAAAACATAAAATGAGAGATTTTTTTACAGCGTGTTTAAAAAGCTGTTTAATATGTTAGCAGGAAATGGGACGTTTTTTAAATTACAGTATCGATTAGAACTGAATTCCAATATCGTGACAATATAGTATGAAGGTCGATGGTTACATTTTTCAAAATAGCTTTGGTGTTAAACAGAAATGGGGAACTTTTAAAGGTTTGAATCCACCCGATGTCAGTAAATTAACATTTTTGGGTAAACTATACCTTTAAGCCAGGGCTATGCCTTATCTAAATTAGGGTATTTAGGCAGTTTTTATTTGAAAAAAAAAAAAAAAAACTTAGAAAAACAAATTATTGGAGTGCATCTTGAAACAAATCAATAGAGTATAATGTATTTTAATTTGTCACTGTGTATCTCAGCTAAGCCAACTCAAACATGCAATTTAGTTTAAAAATAGAAAAGAATTGAGTCTGTTTAAAAGGTTATGATGTAATATTTATTATATATTTTTTAAAAATGATAACCAAATGTGTGTCATGCACAGCTCATTTATGCTGAAGGGGAACAGATAAAGAGAGCATTGTTGACTTCAGTGCAACAAATCACCAGCAGCTACAACAGTGGTGACCAGGGCACTGTCCCATTAAACAGTTCACCACAGACTTCTGTGCAAAAACCTGCATAACTGATGACCAGACAGGTCCTCATGCTAGCTGTTGTTCACCAATCCTATATTATAATATTATAGTTTATAATATATAATAAAGTTGCATATGTCATTTTTCTTGATCACAGAACTCTGTCCCACAAACTACAGAAAAGGACTACTACATAGCTTTGGATTTTAACTATTACCTAGTCCTTAGTCCATTTACACATGAAAATTTCAAAGGTCTAATTCTCTTCCACCGTGTATGTAGTCTGTTGATGTTTGATGATTTGAAACATTGATGGTATCTAGCATTTTTCTGCCCAATCGAATGCTCCATCAGAAAATCAAAACACAATATTCACTGGGCACATAAACAATGTACAAATGCTTGCCAAATAATAACATGTTAAAATAAAATTCTCTGTGATCAGGGACTTGGAAGGCATTCAAATCACAAGTCAGAAGTCTGCAGAGGGTATATGTTCCTGCATTCACTGCACCTGTTTGTAACTACCTCCACCCTACAAAAAATGGGGATGAGTTTGTTTCAAAAGTCATGCACAGACCGACAAATGATAAACAAATGTGTGTTATCCACAACTCATTGATGCTGAAGGGGAGCAGAAAAAGAGAGCATCGTTGACTTTAGTGACAGTGCAACAAATCACCAGCAGCTAGCTAGCTACAACAGTGGAGGCCTGGGAAATGAGTCACAGCACACAGTTCACCACTTCTGTGTAAAAACCAAAAGGGTCCTCATGCTAACTGTTCAACAATTCAAACAATGCATGAAAAGGGCCCAAGATCATCAAAATTGGACTGTAGATGTTTGAAAGAAAGTGGCCTAAGGCCTGATGAATCAACATGGTGAATTACTTTTTAGCATCTTGGTCTCCAAATCCACCTGACATAAACCCAATCAAACATCTGTGGTTTGTTGATGTTGACAGTCTAGTGGGCAGTGCACTAACATGTAGAATCATTTCACTTTGGGCATTCAGAGTTCAACCATATTCCACAAAATGTAACAAAGAGAATTTAACTGCTACAGAATATTACTGACGTTTGACATTATTATTTTTATTATTATAATTATAATTTACATATGTTAAAAGTATCATTAATGTAAAATACTAACAAAATTTAATGGTTAAAAATATTTTGACAATATAGACTTAAAATTAAGAATTACTAGTTACAGACAAACCTTAACCATAAAATATTCAACTGAACATTAATACTTAATGACTAGATCCAGTTAGGAGAATGTTTACATGTGAAATAATCCATGTTTTAACTAATGACTTGTCATAATAGTAACATAGTGCAATCTATGAATTAAACATTAACTGGCGAAAAAAAAAAAAAAAACTAACAAAATTGGAAAACAATTTTAAAATTGAAAGTGTTTACAGTAAAAAAATAGATTTAAAAAAGTTGCAAGCAATACTCATAAAATTCTGCCTTCACCAGACAAAAAAAAAAAAAAAAAATCACTTGGTTCATACAATCAAAAACAAAACAAAACAAAAAAGCTCAAACAAAATGAATAACAAATTTAATAAATGTAATATAAAAAATAAAAATAAAAAAAAGAGTAAATATTTTAAAACCCAACCACTATGAAACCACAATACAAAAACTTCAATAAAAAAGTAGCACTAATAGCTGGGTTTGTCTATATACATCACCTTAAATTGGGTTGAAACCATCCAGCATTTTTAATGGCTCAATGTTTGTAGTTTGAAATCTCATTTATATAAATGAATGTTTACACAGGGATCCACATAAATCCTGTAAAAACCTGCAAAAGTTAAGTTAATGAAATAATTATAACAACATGGCTATTTAGACTATAAAGCATTTTCACGGCTGACTTAATTCTATTATTCTCATATTTCAAAGTGACAATGACCATATAAAGAATACTTTCAGATAATTTAGTTCACAATATTTAATATATCTTTGCAGCTAAATATGTTGCCTCTTACATACATCTTACAATCAAAGATTCATAAAAAAAGACCTGTAGTTGTAAAATATTTATTTATTAATACACATGTAAAATCATCAGCTGTGACATAGAAGACAATGAATTGCTCTCCTCTCTACAGTAAAATTTACATCACTAAGAGTTATGTACAATAAACATTAAAAAAAGATGACTCTTAAAAAAAAGACACCTGACTTGTATGGTGAAGTGCTCACTTAAAGGGACAGTACAACTAAAAATCAAAATCCTCATTAACTGATTTGTTCTAAACCTGTCTGAGTTTCTTTTTTTGAACACAATAAAAGATATAATGCGGGAAACTGCCATTGACTTCCATAGTATTTTTACTTCCTATTATGGAGGTCAATGGCTGCTTTTTTAGCATTCTGGAAAATATTTAATATGTGTTCAACAGTAGACAGAAATTCATAAAAGTTTAGAACTACTTGAAAATGAAGTTTTAATTTTTGTGTGTGAACTATCCCTTCAAAAGTGTACACTAGAAGAGGGAGCACAAGTTACCTAATGAGGAGTATTAACCCTGTGCGCATCACATTGAGAGATTCACACTGGGATTATTTGTTGACGTTTGGCTAAAGTGCAGATTGTGCACTAGCAGCTTGGCATTGTAATTTGGCATTTGTCTTAATGCTGAAGAACTAGTTTGACCATCTCAACAACATTACCGTGCCACATATTTACATCAGCGCCCTCTGGTGGACAGCATTAAATCACTTTTAGTACCACAAACTGCATCAGTCAGTCATATCACTTAAACAAATCAGCTCAAGGCAATAAAAAAATATCCTTTTGGATAAGTAGGTTATAAGTTCCCATTCTCTAAGTGCCATTATGCATGTTAATGTCAATGTGGCAGACAGGAATTGATTCTTTAAATGTTGGTTTGTGTCAAAAACATGTTAGAGGCAAGACACATTTACAATAAAAATATGTATTCAGTCAGACTTAAAGAGTGAATAATTTTTCACCAGTCCTCAAATCACCTGTGAAAGATGGTTTTGTCAATGTTTGTTATGTCCTCAGCAGGCTGATTCAAAGTTTGTTGGTTGTCTGCTTTTATTATTGGCGTCCTTTTCTCTTCCTCTTTCTTTTTCTTTTTTTACCTGCTGTTTTTCAAGTTTTTCCTGAGCTTTCTTCATGTCCTTTAGTCTCCTCTTGATGGTAGCACGATCTCTTTGGCTAGAAACACCAAGTTCCTGAAATACAGTGATTCAGTTTAATACTATTTTGTCACAACACACTCTCTAGGACCGTTTACACAGTAACTTTTAAAAATACTGAAGAAGAAAAAATGCCCTTCAATAATTGTACATTGCTAATTTGCACACCACATATTTGACATTCTCACATGTCTACTGAGGGAGAATATTGGAATTTCATGCTGGGCTTTTGTCAACCGTTTAACAGAGAGAGACAGACAGGTACAGTAAGGCTAACAATTAAAAATGACAAACTTCACCATTTTAAAAGGTTATTTATAATTCAATGTGATATGACTAGAAACAGAGCTGTTTCTTTACATACTGAAGTGGAAAACTGACTACTTTACAATACACGTGGTTTGGAAATTAAGTTTTCCACTGAGGGGTAACATTTGCCTTCTGGATCTGATTTTCATTCCATCTCTATCTTCATTTCAGACTTTTTTTTTAATGGCAGACTGTCAGCTTTAATTTGAGGGTATTTAAATCCAAATCAGGTGAATTTGTGCCTCCCACTTGTTAGGGGCCCAAAAGTAATGGGACAATTGGCTTCTAAGCTGTTCCATGGCCAGGTGTTTGTTATTCCCTCATTATTCCAATTACAATGAGCAGATAAAAGGTCTAGAGGTTCCAAATGTTAATTTCAAGTGCTATTTGGATTTGGAATCTGTTACCGTTAAGTCGCATAGATCCAAAGGGCTGTCACTATCAGTCAAGCAAGCCATCAATAGGCTGAATATACAAAACTCATCAGAGAGATGGCAAAAACATTAGGCGTGGACAAAACAACTGTTTGGAATATTTAAAAAAAATAAATAACACACTAGTGAGTTCTGCAACACCAAAAGACCCGTACAACCAAGAAAAACAACTGTGGTGGATGGCCAAAGAACTATTTTCCTGATGAAGAAAACACCCTTCACAACAGTTGGCCAGATCAAGAACACTCTGCAGGAGGTAGGTGCATGTATGTCTGAGTCAATAATCAAGAGAAGACAACACCAGAGTGAATACAGAGGGTTCACCACAAGATGCAAACCATTGGTGAGCCTCAAAAACAAAAAGGCCAGATTAGAGTTCTACAAAAGTCTTCACAGAGGAGAAACAACATCCTATGGACAGATGAGACTAAGATCAACTTGTACCAGAGTGATAGGAAGAGAAGAGTATGGAGAAGGATAAGAACTGCTCATGATCCTAAGTAGTGAAGCATGGTAGTAGTAGTGACAGTGTGGGCATGTATGGCTGTCAATGGATCTGGTTGTGTTGTATTAATTGATCATGCGACTGCTGACAAAAGCAGCAGGATAAATTCTGAAGTGTTTCAGGTAACATTTTCTGCTCATATTAAGTCAAATGCTTCAAAACTCATTGGACAGTGCTTCACAGTGCAGATGGAGAATGACCGAAAGCACATTGCAAAAGCAACAAAAGAGTTTTGGAATGGAAAGAAGTGGACTGTTATGCAATGTCCAAGTCAATCACAAGACCTGAATCCGAGTGTGCATGCATGTCACTTGCTGAAGACAAAACTGAGGAGAAAATGCCCTAAAAACAAGCAGGAACTGAGGCCTGGCAGAGCACCACCAGGAATGAAACCCAGCATCTGGTGATGTCTAAGCGTTCCAGACTTCTGGCTGTAATTGACTGCAAAAAGATTTTTGCAGTATTAAACCAAGTATTAATAAGTGAAAGTTTGATTTAGGATTATTATTATAATTCCAATTACTTTTGGACCCTTAACAAGTGGGAAGCACATGGATTCTGTTTTGGACAAGGACCAAGAAAAAATCATGTGACACACAGCAACCTCCAATTAGAACAGCAGATATAATGGGTCATTATAAACATAATGTGGAGTGATGGGAAGATATGATTTGATTGAAGATGGATAAGACATACAGTGATTATATGATTGTCTGATGGAAATTATGACTAAGAAAGTACATAAGTCTGAATGAAGCTGTATATTCTTTGAGTTGGTTAAAGATTTTAGGACCTATGCAGAACTATTGTTTGTAAAACCCAGTGACCATGACTTGAATATGGCCTTAAATGGCTCTATAAAATTCTCAGAAATACTAACCTTAAGTTTACTGCTGTCCATGCTCAAGAGATGCTGGCCATCCACGCCTTTAGCTGTAAACTCGGCTATATACTGTTCCATGTTCATGCCCATCAACCAGTGGCAAACTTGCTGATTGGTCCACTCTGAAAGAGGGCGGTTCTGCCACATGTATTGCTTTGCTGCTGGAGTGGAGACATCATCAAGAGTCTGAAAACAAGAGCAATACGTATTAAACTGTAGTCATGTTTACACTGGAAACATGATAGGAGCTATAAGATGTGAAAGACTGCAGTACAACCAATTTTGTGTGCCTGATTTTAAAAAAAAAAGTTCTTATTTACTGATCAACATAGATCCTTACCAGGGCAGAGCACATTTATTAGAATCTGGAGCACATTTATGAAACCAGGTCAGAAGCAGTGGAAGACATAGAAAGGAGGTAAGACCAAGATAGATTGAAGTCTGAAAGGAGCTGTTCTGAAAATCATTTCTGAAGCTCTTTACAATTAAATGAAAGCATACAGCCGATTCATCATGAATGCATCAGGATGCATTAAAAATTGTTTGCTCTCATCTCGCCATATGTTGGTGGAATGCTGCCCACGGAAACATGGTTCAAGTTAGAATTCTATAAAATCCTTATTATTAATGCATTATGTTAATGCATTAAGCGTCACTGGCTCTTCAGTGTTTGTGTGGGATATTAACACCCACAACCAGTAAAATTCTAGCACCTTTTAGACTCAAAATGTTTGTTTACCCCGACCATGACATTTAAATCAATGCATATGATCCATACATTTCTTTCACTACCCAAAATTATGAAAATAAATAAATAAAAACTGGTAGAAACTATAATTGATAGTATCAAAAATCTATATGGCAGCTTCTACCTTCAAAATTTGACATTCTTGGTGTCACACCTAATCATGCACTCTCGTCTGTTCTTAGAAAAAGACAGTTCAAAATATATTTTTAGGATAGGTTGTTGGCCTACAGTGTTCACCAATTTATTACATCATAATTATTGTGATTATTTTCACAATTTTGGGCAGATAAGAAATTTTAGATTTTGACTTAACGCTATATAAATTCTTCTTCCATTGTAGAAAAGAACAGTGTAAACATTTTACAGAACATCTCATTTCCCTGTAGTAAATGAGTCATATACGTGTTTGGGATTGGTATAAAGAAATTAAATGAAGACTTCAATGATAAACAATTTCTTTAACATTAAGTCACCGACACACCTAAATCATCTTGTGAAATAATGTTACCTGTGGCGACATCTGCCCAAGAGGGCGTAGCAAGACTGTTGCAATCATCTGGGAAATTCCACAAACCATGAGCATAACAATGACACTGAAAAGCAGTTTTCACACACAACCACACCCAAATACTCCATATGGATAACAGAAGCTACTCTGGAACGATCCAAACCATAAGCAGGAAGAACATAATGAACAGCCTGAATGTATTAGAGACATGTTCGCTTCCCTGAGCTGATAAAAAAAAAAAAAAAAAAAAAACACATTTACCACTGAGTTTCAATAGGAATCCATGAAACTGAATATTCGTATGAGAGTGAAAAGTTTCCTTTGCTGATTTTAACTACATCTTCATTAAATAAATAAATTTATCTACATTTTAGCTTAATCACTTCCTGCTCTGGCTTTTATTAATGTAAGACATTTTACAACAGATTCACTAATACAACAGATAATAGATTGATAGAATTTCCCATATGTGATAATTCACTTGCCACTTTCTTTATTTGGAAGTCTATAAATGTGTCTACTAAATGACTAAATGAATACAATGAATTTTACATTCAAACATTCAAATTTCAAACATTCAAATTGGTCAAGCAATGTGCCATGTATTACATTGGGTTTAAACAGCCCCCCTAAAAAAAAGCTGGTCTCCGAGCTTGGCTAGGCTAGTCAAGCAGTTTCAGTCTCCCAGTCTGACCAGTTAAGACCAGTCTGACAAGCTAAGAAAGTGGCCAAAACCAAATAAAGTCAGCAGCCTGGATGACCATCTAAAGCAAGCGAACCAGGTTTAAGATTTTTTTTTTTCAGCTGGGAGTGAATAATCTGCCTTTTTAACTGCACCTTTAAGGCCCCAGTATACAGTACTTCAAACTAAGATCTTGTTAGTTCTTCATTTGAAAGCAAACGGAAGTTCAAAAAGGTAGAACAACACATCAACCCTTTAACATCCAATGCTGCAGTAGTGGGGTTGTAAATGTGTCACAATGTTCATGTGTATCCCCATACACAACGATGGCGCCTGGGAGAGAACAACAGTTTCATATACATCTGGCAAACAGCCTTCTACACAAGTCCCACTATGGTTTATGACATCCTAACATTATTTTCTATTTGCCACAAACAGACAACACTGGTGTGTGTACGCCTATAGAAAAAATGTGGTGTGATTATGTGGGCTTCTCGTCTATTGTGTGACCCCCTCCAAGTCTTTAAAATCTCTCTGCGAGTGATCGTACAGGTGTGGATACTTCTGTTTAGTATTGCTACTCGACTCTCCAGTGTATTCATGTGGCTAGTATTGTTGCTTTGGGTGTTGTTTTTCTGTGAAACCCTTGTAGAATGAGGAACATAAGATGACATAATTTTAAGAGAAAAATAAATGTATAAAATTTACATCACAGAAAGCAGCGTTCCAAGACTAATCAGTTGAGTAAATGCAATGAACCAATGGTAAGTAAAAGGTCTTTAGAAGTCAAATTTACTCCTCAAAAGTGAGCTGTTTCGAACTGCCAAAATGAACTCAAAGCAAAGTTGGTTTCAGTTTTTTTGTAATTATGTAATTTCAGTTTATTTTTTGATTTAGTTTTAACAACACCATTGCCTTTACACTACAGTTCTAAGCAGGGATAAAGTAAAACAGAAAACAAATGCCTTAAATTGTTCTTTCTCAAAGCTATGAGCATGATCTCATTCTTTCCATTCCAGCTTGAAATACACATACATTCCACTGACGAGAGTAACTTGATGTCTAGTTGATCATTTGGTATAAGAAGTGGCTTATATGAAAGGCAAAGAACTCTAGATTATGCTTATTTTACCAAAATAAAATATGATCATGTCTTGATTTTTAATTATTTAATTAGGACAGTGAAGTCCGACTTTGCTTAGACAAAAGTCTTGTCACTTAACAGAAATAATGTACAGTATAGAATATAAAGTCATGGTGCAGTGGAAAAAGAATTAACATTGTGTTTGATTCCTATGAGTTTGAAGGACTGCATCCATACATCTCAGAAATGACTCAAATAAAGTCATCTGGAATGGCAAAGAAAGCATTCTTGCAGGACTCCCAGATTCTTTGGATTCATCTTCAATGTCTCCTCATTCACCTTACCCCTAGAAGTGTGAACCTACACCGGTCTCACGGTTCGGTTCAGATCTGATTATCATGCTATCAATTCGGTTCAAGTCAATATCTCGATGCATCATGGTGCATTTTTAATGCCTTCCATACAGTTTTATATTTTCTTCACAGCACAGCAATTCTTGTATTAAAATGTATTAATATATTTATATACTATTTGTAATACTATTTTGTCCTTTAATACAGTCAGATATATAAACTGTGCCTATAAACAACACGAGCATTTATAGCAAATAAACACATAAATATGCCGCTCGCTTTCTCATCCTTGTCTAGAAAGTCCTTTCTAACACCCCTTTAATTATTCACACACTCAACTGTAAGGGCTGTGATTGGCTCTACGGGCCGGCACTCTTCACAGATGAGTAAAGCCTACCACAATAGACGGGGTGGAGAAAACTCAGCAGACAGGCACTCGTGTCTGAATCCAGAAGTATCGCTATAACAGCCGAGAGGAGAAGAGAAGTCAAGCCAGCAGGTCAAATGGGCCACAGTGAGAGAGAGATGGAGTAATTCCATTCTCTTAAATCGCAGTGAGATAGGGGCTTCTGCTGTAAGTGTCAGTAAAAGACTGTCCAGTAAATTCTGAAATTGTGCACAGTTTCTGCATTTAAGTAGTTGGAGCGTTGTAAATACTCGCCCTCGCCTCCTTTGCAATAGTAAGCTACGGTGACATAGTGCACATGACATAAATGACGTCAGTACATAATAACCCGTTACCGATACAGCATTGTCAGCGTCTGCATCGTGGTTCAGCGAAAAAACAATTAATTTTGACACCCCTACCAGACATGCTCAATAATGTTCATTTCTGGTGACTGAGCTGGCCAATCCTGGAGCACCTTGACCTTCTTTGCTTTCAGGAACTTTGATGTGGAGGCTGAAGTATGAAAAGAAGCGCCATCATGCTGAAGAATTTGCCCACTCCTGAAGTTTGTAATGTAATAGGCAGCAGAAATGTCTTGATACCTCAAGCTGTTGATGTTGGCCTCCACTCTGCAGATCTCTCGCACGCCCCCACACTGAATGTAACCCCAAACCATGATTTTTCCTTTACCAAACTTGACTGATTTCTGTGAGAATCTTGGGTCCATGCAGGCTCCAATAGGTCTTCTGCAGTATTTGTAATGATTGGGATGCAATTCAACAGATAATTCATCTGAAAAATCTACCTTCTGCCACTTTCCCAAATGATAAACTAGAAGTCAAGTTGTTATTTGTTGCTCTTACAACTGGGATCAACAACAAGACTTTTGTTAGGCAGTGTATAATGTGACTAATAATAACAACAAACAAACTATGGGAAAAGCTGATGCAGTGGTGACCCTGCGGCCACTCACCTCACACGAGGAGAAGGTGTGTGTGTGTGAGCGCCCAAGGACATGGGGCTCTCTCAGAAACCCTGCCAACAGAGAACGAGGACTACCTGCGACTGAATCACCCGTCACAGATAAGCTCTGCAAGTAGGACAAGGGACGTACATGTAAGCATACACAACAAACGATTACAGTGTTTTCAGATGCACTGTTATAAGGAATTTCGAATGCTAATTAGCATGCATTTCTCAGTTTTAAATGAGACACTGCTAATGGTGGTAATGCTAATGAGGTAAAGTGATGCAAATGTCACTAAATGTCTAATATCAATGCAAATTTCTAACTAATTCCTGTTATTCAGGGTATCAGGGTGAATAAACAGCTGAAAGCAAAATGTGTTGGCGTCGTGTAAAATAAATTATTTTACTAATATTTTCCCAAAGTACTGTTTAACAGAGAAGTACGATGGCCGAGAGAGCTTAACATACTGCAATTATAAAAATGCATGCAATTACAAAAAATATCAACAAATTAAAAAAAGATCTTCATCAGTTTGACAAATCCTCAAAACTTTGCAAAAGTTGCAAACACATAAAAAATGAGCTGCATTTTCTCACAATGCAAACTAATGAATAAAATGTGCTGCATTTTCTCAACACTTGCAAAAAGAATGGAATGCAACGGAAATGTTTCAATGGCACCACAAACATAACAGATGTCACTGTGCTGTGAATATTGCCAAATTGCAAGTTGTAGGTGATCTTTGAAAGACAAGTTCTTGTTTGTTTGTTTAAACATCCTGATCCTGTTGTGTTTTGTATTTTATTAGCCTAAATAACCATAACCATAACCATAAGTCCTTCACATTTTAGGGTCTCCTTGAAACATTTCTATTGTGTTCTGAGTTATTTGAAAGTGTTGAGAAAAAGCAGCATGTTTTCTCAATTAGTTTGCATTGCGTGAAAATTCTGCATATTTTTTTTAAAATGTGTTTGCGATATGAGGATATGCAGCACTTGTGCTGTCAAAAGGATGAAGATATTTTCTCAATTTGCAATTTTTTTGTACTTGAATGAGTTTTCTTAATTTGCAGCACATTAAGCTCTCTCGGCTACTGTAGAGAAGACATTTGTTAACTTTTTGTGTTGCGTAGTAGCTTTAATAACTATTTTCTGTTTTTCTGTGTTTGTCTTGCCATGATGACAGTTCATAATAATTTACTAGTTATTTTAAGTGCATTTTAAAGATTACTTAGAGTCATCTTAAAGTGGCTAATAATAATGACCTTATATATATATATATATATATATATATATATATATATATATATATATATATATATATATATATATATATATATATATATATATATATATATATTAGCCTTCAACTGTACATGATACAATGTGGGTATTGAAATCTTTGTATGTATGAACTGCACTGGTATTTTTTTAACTAAATACATTAATAAAACTGAAAAAAGAAAATTGCATCATTGACTTAATTTATAAATTACCCTAAAAACATGCATATTTGTGGCTTTATTGCTTTATCTTTCTTAAACATCTTGCACGTCTTAAACATTCAAACTAAATCTAGGCCAATGGCATGGTGACAAGCAATGCTATACCTTTAGTGCATTTGGTTCCAAAATCCAAAACCAGTAGAAACACAAAGCTATTTTGTATTACTTGGGAGTTCTATCAGTGTTATTATACTGCATCTACAAGCATGCATCCATCTCATGTGTTAGTGAAACTAATGGATGACCAAACCAGAATTAAATAAAGCATTAAAACCAGAAACTATCACAGGCCACTGCACTTGAATGCAGTCCAGAGCAATGATCCGTTATGAAACAGAATTAGGTGTTATCGCTGTGGGCCAAGGGTTATATTGTGAAAGAATGCATTTACTACAATGGAGCAATTCATATTTCAAAAAAAAAAAAAAAAGAAAAAAGAAAAAAAAATAATCTGCTAGGGTTAGTAGTAACTGCTATCAACTGAGAGTACTATTGTCCTAAAAAAAAAAACAACAACGGGAAAACTGACTGCATACTGTACCAAATCTAAGGAATGAGAGAGGAGAGATGGCCAGGAGAGGCTGGTCTGTTTTAAAGAAGAATTCATGAAAAACACATTTGGCATAAACAAAATTACACAAATGATATTGCTATACAGAGTGATTTTAGTTTATCATTGTACGTCAGTGGAATAAGAACATCTGAGAGATCTGAGCTTTTGAACAACAAAACTTGCAATGAGCAGATTTTTAAAAATGTTTTAATTAAATTTACATAACCTTCTTTATAAACAAAATCCCAAGTGGCATAAAAATCCAAGTCAACTGGTGATGAGGATTAGCTTTAGTAGTGTTGAAGTGGCAGCTCATAAGAGAGATCATTCTGATTGGCTGTTCAGTTTAGCAACAAGTCAGTGCACAAAAAAATGAAAACAAAAGGGACCAAAGAAGCCAATATTAAGCATATTAAACACCTAGAATGAAGAAAGTGATCACCATGACTGAAATTCAAAGTGATATGAATGGTATGATAATGAATATTGACTACTGAATAATGATGTTTGCTGATAAAGACATGCATATGCTAATTTGTAGTCACTTGTAGATCTTTTGGTGGATTTAAGTGCAAATCTTTGAGGCAACACATTTTCATTTGTCACTGGAGGTGTGTGCTGTAAATCTGCAGATTTCCATACATTTTTTAACCTGTTACTGAGTGTATTTAGTTACTTTTGCAAATGTGTGTAAAATACATTTATTCAGTTTTTTGATTGATTTCAGTAATTTTAATAATTAATATGAAAATGATTGTATGGTTTATGTAAAGTAATATTTTCTGTCTTTTAGTAGATGAGATTTCTTTGTTTACTTAACAAGAAGGTCTTATTGGAGTTGGAACTTAAATAAAAGTTATATAGTTTTTTATTTAGTGTTTTATGTTTTAGTTAATATACTACCAAACCCATTCCACATAAATCAGCAGAGTTTGTACAAAATTCTGCAGAGAAACTGCAAAAAATGTCAGCAGATTCTGTCTGACCCTGGTCATGACTTTAAAATTTCTTCTTTTTTTCCACTTTTAAATTTTAAATGCCAGATTTAATGGTTCCAGACAATAAACCACAAGTGTCATAGTGCAGTCTTCATAATAAAGTATGTCTAATTACAAAACTCTACTTTTTTCTGTGATCAAAGACTGCATTGTGCTTAAATATTAACCTCTAATGACACTCAATTTGCAACCCTAAAAACGGAGTACATTGTAAATGGGTCAGACCTTAAAAGTCATAAATGCTCTGTTTTTAGTATATGAATTTAGTAATTTGAGACAACAAAAAACATTTTTTATATATAAAAAATAAATAAATAAATAAATAAATAAATAAAAACTCATCATCTGGATGCAACTTGCCTTGTTTGTATGATCCTCTATGTATCCTTCTGAAGGCGAGCGAGGCAGACTGCCACTGGATGCGGAACGCTCTTTTTCTCTCTCTCTATCTTTTTCCTTGTCTCTGTCCCCAAACCAGGAGAACGGCATACAGGAAGGGATGGAAGAGACGGAGCCAGAGGGGGAAACATTGCAGCTCGACTCATCCAGTAATTCTCCTGATCCCCTGAGTTTAGACAACAAAGAAAGGACCCATGCTAATCAAACTACTTATCTAATGGATACCAGCTGGTCTATATCAAAGGAGACCTGCAGATTTTTATCTCATTAACCTCAGTTAATATAGTGGGTTAATATTAGGGCATTTAATATTCAAACCTGCTCCCTACAGATCCTCGGAGTGTGATGCTCTCCCGTTTTTTGCCTTTGCCTCCAGACCGGCGGATACCACTATAGACCAATACAAAACACAGTGAGTTAGAATATTTACACATTTTAGGCCTTATTCACATAATTAGAACAGAAGTTTGTTAATCTGTCAATATTAAAATGTAATAAATTAAATAGTGCTTAAATAGTTTTTAGTTTTAAATCATTGTTAACACTCACCTTTTTTTATTATATAGTATAATATTTTCCCATACATTTTAACCCTGGCAAACATATATTTTATAAGCAAGATTATAAAACCAATGGTTGTGCTAAACAATAGTGCCAAACATATGCAGTGTGAAACAATATAAAGTGAAAGTGTTAAGGCAAGAAGAGCCTTAGCAACTGAAAGGCAATCATGTGCCTCATATTTACATGCTTTGGATTGTTACGAAAACATTGCATTGCAAGTTATGTTAGAACACTTGCTTTATTATATGAGAAGAAAGATATCAAACTGTATTTGAGCATAAAGCATTCTTACCTATATAGTATAAAATATGTATAGTATAAAATTATTTATAGCATAAAAATGTGTGATATATGTCTCATAAGTGTACACACATACAACATAAAATTAATGTAATAGTGCATCTGATTCAAATAATTCAAATAATTCATCTGATCAAATTCACTGATGCTGCATACATGCAAATAAGGCAGTTAACTCAGGTTTTGCAAATGTACAGTGTGAAACATTCGTTTCCATATAGTCAGGATTCATTTGTTAGCCTTGGGTAAACTTATTCAAGTGTAAAAAGCCATATTAAGTCAATGGGGATCAACACATTCAAGTACCAAAAAGTACATAAAGATAGTGATTGCATCTATTGGATTGGTCTTATTCAGTATTATAGGGTTCATGCAGGTTTTATCAAGTCAAATATAAACCATTTTAAGACCTTTTTAAGACCCATATGAATGGAATTTTAGACTTATTCAGGGCAAAACACGAATAATTATTTCTAATGGCCTGGTTGGGCCAATGGATTTTTTTTGCTTGCCACAAAAAAATAAAAGTAATAACTTCTTTGCAACATACTTTAACGTGTCAAAACAGAACTCTTTTTTTAATGACATGTTTAACATTGTTAAAAGTATATTTCTTGTGGAAGCGATTACATAAATAATCAAAAATATATATTTGTTGTCTTTTGGTTCAAATTGATTGAGTATAACTTCTATTCATCTAACGCATTTCTGTTATAAAACCTTGCTTCATGCCTATAAATATTATGTCTACTCTTAATTACTTCTGTAAATAGTTTTTATATGAATGCAAGTTAACGTATAGCAATATATTGCTCTGTTATTATGACAAAGAACTGTATTATTGTTTTAAGTTTTCTTTCCCTTAATATTACGATGGATTGTTTGTGATTTTGAAGGATGTTTCCCCGATTGGGTAGCTTTACTTGGACAAAAGAAAATTAAGACCTGTTTAACATTATTTGAGACATACAACATAATATTTCAGTGAATTTAAACCTTTTTAAGGCCTAAAAAGTTTTTGAAAATTAAGACATTTAAAGACTTTAAGACCCAGCAGATACCCTGTATATATTTAAAACTTTATAAAGACTTACATTACACCTCATTTGTTGCTATTCTTATTTTTACCAAATGCCATGAGCCCATGATCATGCTTATTACAGTACATTATACCGAGGTGGACTAAACAGTCTTTGCCTTTTTAAGAGCCTGAAAGCGTGAATTTACATAAATTGACAAACATGGCAGTAACATTCTTTAAAATGTATATGATTTTGTTCTCCAGAAGAATGCATACAATTTTAGAATCATACAAGTGAATAAATGGTGCACAGTTTACTGTAAGTCAATCTTTAATTTAAAGATGGACTTGCACCTTAAAGGTAGCACTGTGCTATGTCTGACAGATCGTACTCTTATGTCTGTCTTTTATTTTTCATTATTTTATAACCTGTTTTAACACATTTTAATCAGTTATTATTTGTTTTAAATTATTTTAATGATTTTGTCTTGTTTCTATTATTCTTGTTTATGTAAAGCACTACTATTGTGTGTGTATGAAATGTGCTAAATAAATAAACTTGCCTTGCCTTGCCTTGTATAGGTGGACAGATAGTTTCTTTTCTATGATCGGTAAGTAAACAAACAACAGATGCTACAGACTGTGTCATACCTGAAATCTGGAAATCGTCTCTTGGACTTTCTTGTAAGTGAACCATCACTCTCTTCATCTAAAAAACAAAAGAACAATCAAAGTCTTTTACATTTCCCATAAAGTCTTCAGCCAGAACAAGTAAGCAAACATGACTTTAGCAGTTCTGTGAGGTATACCTCGGCTGGCTCTGCTCTTGCTGCGCTCCTTGGCTTTACTTCTTCTGTTTCTTAGGTTGAGGAACAGACTGGAGGAGGACTGTGAAGATGATGGGGACTGAGGAGTGGAGGAGTCTTTAGGTGGAGAAAGGCTGGCTTGCGTGCTACTTCCTCCTTGAGGTGTTTGGCTCTGAACAAATACGTCACCTCCACCTTCACTTCTCAGATCATGTGTTTGGTTGTTGCCAAACTGTATGGTTGGAATGGGTATAGCTAGGCTCTCGAGGTAAGATCGCCTTCTTTCACTGTTTGTTCTTTCTGGTTTGCCTTGCGTGCACACAGATTCCTATGAACATGAAATAAAGTTAACAATTTGATTTTACACAGGAACTACCAGAATTCTATAACTACTAAAATGGCCATAACAGTCATTCTGGCCGTTCATATAAGACTGTATTGAATTTATTTTTTGTAACCTCATAATTAAATTCAAAAATTAAAAATAACTTTTTTTGACTGTCTGAGGTCTATATTTTATGAAGTCATTACCCTAAAAATATAATCTTTTTGTTATATCGTATAATTTTGTTGAGTTACTAGACCTCAGGCAAAGGTGCGTATCTCATGTTGTCCTACAAGCGGAAGAGCAAATTTCTTTTCTTACCACAGTAAAGTTTTTGAAACTTTGAAAGACGTGTCTAAAGTAAAGTCATGTTTTTGCTATTTATGTTAGCAGAAAGTTGCTATGCAACAAAGGCACACATATTTAATGGGAAAGTGGAAAAATAGCAGATGCTGAAACGAGTGCAGTCAATTGGTCCACTATGTTAATTCAAAATAGAAACACTCAGAACTTTGTGTTTTGTAATTGTAATTAAAATAATGAAATACACACACATTTAGAAAAAGTCAGGGTACTACACAGATAGAATGTGGGCCACTTTAGGCAGTTATGCGACAGTAGTGGTCTGCCTTTGGTTCAGACAAAATGAATGTGAGCCTGAAGCAGCCCACCTGTACAATGGCAAAAGGGGGGCAAAGATTCCAATTCATTTATCAGCCAGTTAAGGCAAAGATTTGGCACTTATAGCAAAATGTAACCTGAATGTGAGCCTAATGTGGCCCAGGTGGAAAATGGTAAATTTATCCCCAAATGACTGAGGAAAAATGTGGCATGGTCATTTAAGGGTAATCTAGGTCTAAACTTAAAGTGGCTCACATGTGCAGGTGCAAATGTGGCCCAGTTATCTTAAGACATATGTGGGCCACTTTTGGCAAATATTTGGCACAGCAAGCTCTGGCTAATGCAGGTGTGAGCCTAAAGTGGCCCAGAGAAAATATAGCAAATATGCTCCAGTTATTTTAAAACATATGTGGGCAACTTTTGGCAAATATTCGGCACAGTAAACTCTGGCTAACGTGGCTGTTAGCCCATTGCAGCCCAGGGAACATATGGAGAATGTGGCCCAGTTATCTTAAAACATATGTGGACTACTTTTGGCAAGTTTTCAGCCCAGTAAGCTCTGGCTATAAGCTCTGAGATATGGCAAATATGGGTGAGCATCTTTGACTAAAGATGGTGTGAACTCAAAGCAGCTGAAGTAAGATGTGGCAAGTATGGTACTGTTATCCTAAAACATATGATAGGTCACTTTTGGTAAAGATGAAGCACAGTGATCATTTGATAATAATAGGAGTAAAACCATAGCTCTTTGGCATGGCAGATATAAGTAGTAATATACACTGTAAAAATTTTCATTGTAAATTTACAGAATAATACAGGCAGCTGGGTTGTCAGCCACAAGCTGCGTAGAAGAAGGTAGAGCAGATCAGTATGTGATACGGATGCAAGTGTCTGGTGTGGGCCAGATCTGGCCCAGAATAAAAGCAAACTGTGGCCCAAAATAGGGTCAGCTCTAGTTCATATGGTTGAACTCTGGCTGGAATGTGGTATTGATATGGTTTAACTGTGGCCCAAATTTGGTAAACAGGAGCGGACCGCCCAAGTGACACCATTCCATGCGATATGTGGGCTGGATGTAAGTGTCTGGTGCAAGCCGGATTTGAGCCATATGAATTTTGCTAACTGGGTATATTGTGTTTTGTATGGGTTATTTTAACAAAAGGTATTAAATTACAAAAATAAAATAAAAAAATTAAATTTAAATTTAAATTAAACTGTTAAAATGACTGCCTTAGTAGTAGTTTTACTTCATAATATGCAGGAATGTGTTGAACCTATAACTAACTTGTGCTCTTTGTATAATGGAAATGTGCAAATATGTAGTAATAGTCAAAAATGTGTACATTAATTATATGTTAATATGACATATACATTTTACCTTAATTTCTCAACAAAATAAATATAGTCTTTATTATATGATCAGATTGTTTGTTTGTTTTTATAAGAATGCACATTTATGATGGGAAAGGAGGCAAGTTGTTTCTTTTTAAGGAAGAAAAGTAGATAGATCATGATGTTATCCTCCAAAAACAGCATGTCTAATTCATCAGTAATTTAATTAAAAAAAGTCTCTCATTTAAATTCAAGAAGTGAAAAAAATGACCTTATTCTTCATATATGAGCAGGGGGCAGCAATTGTAATATTTTTAGCTCAAAACTTTCAGTTTCATTCACTTCCATTGATTTTTATACGTAAAAAATGGATTGTTATGCTGCTTGATGTTCAATTGAAGTGGCTAGTTTAAACTGACATTTATATGATCTACAATAAAATACTTTAACATGTTTAAATGTTAGTGGCTCAACATACCTGTGATTGGCTCTGTCCCTGCGAGCTTTTCGCTGACTCTCTGAGTTTATTTCGGGACGGCCGCTTGCGTTGGGATCCCTGCACCAGTTTGGCTTTGGCTCTATAGACACTGCAGTCCAGACGAGCCGTCTGAGGAACATCTCCCCAGTCTGCATCTAAGGACAGAAAGACATCAACATCTCACATCCAGAAAAGACTTCTCTAACAGACTAATTTGTTAGAGACTTTCTGAATGAAATAATGACCAACTATGCTGTCTAGCTTATTAAACCATAATATAGAAACTAGATAAAGCATTTCTGTTATCCTGTATGTTTGACCAGGTTCTAAAAGAAAATATTTAAAGAGCTTTTCTGTACCAGATTGAAGGTCGTCTGTAGAAAGTCCATTTCTTTCAGACGAACCAGAGGTTGGACTGCTGGGTTGACTCTCTCCTGCAGGGCTGCAAGACTCTTCGGGCTGGTCTGATCCAGCTTGGCCTTCCAGACAAGCAATCTGAGAAACACAGAGGTGTTAATTGTGTTTACAGCAGTACCAATTAATCTGGGGGCATCAGTATAACCTCAAATGTTTGTAAATAAACAAACAGTTATTGATTTATTAAATAATGTGTATGTATTTTTAAATATTTTCATAATACTTTGTCATCATTAACTATACATGTATTATTGTTTCTTTTTATATTTACCATTCTACAATTTATATACAGATTTTATATTAATAAAATATATTATATTTATACAACTTGTGTTACGATGATATTTGTTTCAGTTGAATCATTATATGTGATGCCTAATGCAATTACCATTGGCTAAAAGCATGTTCACACAAAAGACAAATTCTCGATGAATTCTTAATGAATAAATAACTGGTAAGGTGTGTAAAAGGCATAGCTTAGCCAAACCAATGTACATTTATTTAGTCACTCTCAAGTGGCTCTAAACCTTTATGAGTTTCTTTCTTCAGTCAAACACAAAAGGTATTTTGAAGAAAGCTGGAAAAAAATGTAACCAATAACTTCAATAGTATTTGTCTTTCTAACTATGGAGGTCAGTGGTTGCTGGTTTCCAGCTATTTTCAATATATATATATATATATATATATATATATATATATATATATATATATATATATATATATATATATATATATATATATATAAGCTGGTCACCCAATAATATCTCAGACACTCCCTTTTTTTCTGAGCAAGAATGAAGAAATTAGAACAAATCTGGTGAAGTTACTTATGATTGTGTCTTGAATTTGGTGTTGTTTGATATAAAAAAACAAAACAAAAAAAAAAACATTAAAACAATTGTAAATACCTTTGGTACTGTTAAAACATGCAAATATCATTCACTTCGTTTTCATCTCATGTGGAAAAAAATGGCAAAGAAAAACAACAAACAAAATACACAACTAATTATTAGTAATATATTATATTAAATAAGACCCTTTAATGGAGAAATCAGAGACAAGATTGACCTTTTGTACTGCAAGTGTCAAGCTTTTAAGTTCTTCAAAGCATAGTGTGCTTTGAATATATAAATTTTAAATTTGAATATATTGCTTATATATATATATATATATATATATATATATATATATATATATAATTATTTTAAGGGGTCTTCCTACAAATGTCCCATGTACATACTATAGTTCTTACATTAAATTATACATTATTGAATGCAACTAAGCCTAGACCTTACATTATCAATATAGTAAAAATATTTAGTTAATTAATATTATTCAGAAGTAAAATTATTCCTAACACTATAACAAGGAAACCTTAGAACAATGCTAACATTTTAAATAAAATATATCAAAAGAGATGACATGGCCATTTACCTTATACTGTAATTGCCTCACACTGGTCTTGTACTCTTTTTCCTTTTGCTCCAGTTTTCTTTTTAGCTCTGCCTCTTTCCTGCCACATTCAGCCTCTCTACAAATGAAGAACAGTCCAAGCACACACACAAATCACAAAAAGAACCGCTGTTTAAGAATTCAGTTTAATCTATTTCTCTTTAGCACATTAAGAAGTTCCCATAATTCAATTGAATCAGGCTTTTACTAATCAGTTCAATTCCAAGAATGCCTCACCACACTTCCCAGAAGGATTCTAATATGACAACACATTGCATGCTCAAACACACCTCTGTTGATGCTCCTGTAGAAGCGTGATGGTCTTATTGTATTTCAGCTGAAGGGAGTCATTTTGACTCTGGGCTTCATTTAAACGCTGATTGATGGTTTTGCAGAGCCCCTGAGCATCAAGCCAGTATTTTTCCAGCTTTTCAATGCGCTCTTTGCTCTCTTCCACACTTCTTTCAAGAGCTGCACCTCGAGCCTCCCAAGACTTACGTTCAGCTTCGCTCACTTCCAACTTGAAAATCATAAACATACAAAGAGTTAACTAGTTGTGTGGGTGCAGATGTTACTTCGTAAGAAAAGCATCCTACCTTTTCTCTTAACTGACTGAGTTCTGTGACTGTGACACTGTGTTTTATCTGCAGCTGTAAGACAGAATTCATATAAAAGAACACTTAATGAATTAATGTGGCTTTAATATTTAAATATATGTAAATTCACAATCTACCTCTTTGAATTTGTGTTCTAGTTCAGTAGCATCTATATCTTCAGGTAGATCAATGCCTTGGCTCTTCAGTTGTGAAAACACTTCCTGTGCCAATTCGCTGGATGCATCCTCCGGACTCTGCTCCTCTTCGGCCTCTTTCTGTTTATCCTGTATCAGTCATAATATGGACACAACAATACCTTTAGTGACTCATTTATTCCTGACATCAAGCTTATCTTTTTATGCTCACACACCTGTTGCACAACATTCTTTTCAGCCAGTGGATCAATTTCCTGTTGATTCTGATGTTGGTAATAAATCTGCTTTTCTTCCTGTAGGTGATTGTTCTGGGGTTTGGGATGCTCCTCATCTTTTGGCTCCTGGTTTTCAGGGCTTGTCTCATGTTGTAGAGTCTCGCTGATCAGACGAGCCACCTCACTCTCCACTCCTGGTTTCTCTCGGCCTATTAGGAATCTGCAATGGAGGATGTAAAATTCCTTCACATGTTTTGGGACTATGACCCTGGCTGGTATTTTACTGACTATGCGATTAGATTTTGCCCTGGTGAATCATTACCAAACACTTCCCATTTAAGTGCTCACAACTTACAGTAAAATTTATACAGCGAAAATCCCCCTTAAGAAATGTGGAGTGAGTTACTGATCCTCTAAAAATTTAGCTACAACTCTACATGACTCACGTTAGGTTTAGTGGTTTTATCCCAATACTCACTTGACAAGACCTTTAGTGTTTTTCAATGTGGTGGCAGCAAAGTGTTGAGTGACACCAACCAGACTGATTCCATCTACCTCCACAATCTGATCATTTACTCGCACTCTGTAAAAAAAATAAATAAATAAATAAAATAAAAATCATAATTGGTTTATTAATCATAATTTTCACAAAAAAGTCACACACAAAAAAAGGTCTAATACCTCTCTCAATAAGTATGTCTGATAATATTTTCTTTTTCTTTGGAGAAAGTCTTATTTGTTTTATTTCGCCTAGAATAAAAGCAGTTAATAGTTTTTTAAACACCATTTTAAGGTCACAATTATTAGCCCCTTCAAGCTATAATTTTTCCATAGACTACAGAAGAAACATTATTATACAGTAACTTGCCAAATTACCCTAACCTGCCTAGTTAACCCAATTCACCTAGTTAAGCCTTTAAATGTCACTTTACGCTGTATAGAATGCTAATGCTTGCGTACAAGATCTGGAAAAGTCTAGCACCACAATATTTATCTAAGCTTTAAAGCCCACACACTCTTAGATGTAGGCATGGGACAATAACTGTTTTCAAGGTATACCGTGGTTTGGAAAAGTCAAGGTTTTAAAACCGACAATGTTTTCGGTAATACCATTCCTAAGGTATATGTAAGATTTTTTATTTACATTTTTCTTTTCTTTTTTTTTTTTGTTTTTGTTTTGTGGCAACATTATCTCTAGCAGAATATATATCCAAAGATGTCTTGTAAATTGTAAATAAATCTGTGTTTTTAAAACTAAAGAAGACAGCAGATTAATTTGAATTATTTAGCCTCACATGTTTACTGCTCCAAAATATTTTAAATCTTTGATAAAATAAAATAGATTGTGTTCAAAGTGGAAAAAGATTAAGTTTTTTAACTGATACATTTAAAAATAACTTCTTTTAGAGCAGTGATCACAATACAGTGATACCGTTAAACCTTGATATTTTTATCTAAGGTTATCATACCATCAGAATCTTATACTGACCCACGCCTACCTAGATGTGCTTTACGCTTGTTTGATGTTGGTCTTTTAACTGCTCAGTCAATGCAGCTAAATTCTATGGGAGATCGGGCATTCTCTTTATTGGCACCTAAATTGTGGAGTTCTTTACCCGCAGATATTCACAATGCAGAATCCCTGAGTATTTTTAAATCATCTTTTAGAACTTAGTTTTTTTTAGCATAGCTTTTATTTGATTTGATATTATTTTTTGATATATTATTATTATTTTATTTCTATTTTATTATTATTTGTCATTACATTTTTAAAAATTATTTTACTGCTGCATATTTTATTCCTGTAAAGTGCCTTGAGATGCCACTTTTAAAGGCACTATATAAAAATAATGTTTATTCTCATTCTTATTTTTATTATTATAAATACTGTACACTATATTTATATTCTTACCGTCCATCCCGGTGAGCTGCACCTCCCTCTGTGATGGTTTTCACAAAAATGCCCAGCTTCTCCAGTCCTTGATCTGCTCCAACCCCCATCCCTATGATACTGATTCCCAGGCCATCATTTCCTATTTTAAAATATACAAGCAGAAAGCTGAAATTTAACACGTCTACACCTGTTGACAATAAACTGTCTCAACAATTTCATAATAGGGAAAACACATGCTTTGAAAAAGTTGTAAAATGAACCTTTTTGAATGTCTATGGGCACAACATCCATTTTTTCCACCCTCTTTTCCAACTCATATTCAGCAGATGCAGATACGGGGTCCACATCGTCATTACTACGGTCATAGTCTTCATTAGAGAAGGTGAAGTACACCTGCAGGAGAGGAAACTAATTAAACACCACACCTGTGCACTCCCATACCTGATTTCTTGTACTAAGGGTATTAACTTGCACAAGCAAAACAATAATTCATTGATTACACAAATAATGTTGATATAAAATAAGTACCAATAATCCTTTACCCTGTGAAAAACATTAAAATACTCTGTAATTTTTGGTCATACAGAAAAGACAACACAGATTTGAAAACCTTTAACAGTATAACTTTTGCATATTTTTATAATTACAAAAAAAGATGTATGAAACATTGTAATTGTCTCCTCTGTCTTCTGTCTGACAAACACATGAAAAATAAATTGCTGAATCGCTGCCTCAGTTGCCTCACATACATGAGATACATATTTGCATAAAGCCTGAAATGTCTACTATTAAATTATCCAACTCTTTTGGAAAACAAATGTTCTCTGTTTTAGTAATCCGTATGGATTGAACACATAATACAGTCTCTAATCAAATTCTTTTTTAATGAGTTCCCATCTTCTACTTTCAAACACACATTCAAAATGACATCATCCACGGAAACGCAAATTAAGTCATGAAAGACATTTATAATAAAACCTTCCTGTTAACAATAACAGCTTTCACCCATCCTGATGAATAAGGCCTGAGGCATTTAAGCTTTAAAACACCGAAAACATAGTCGAAGTACAGCACCATAAAAGTTGCGCATACAGTATGACCCCTCCACTGTATGCCAAGCCTCCAAAAGAAATACAACTGCTTTGTGTAAGGAACAAACGTAAGTCATTACTCACTGATTATCTTTATTTACTGTTAAAGGATCAGACTGGATTATGCATTCAATGAGTTGACTCAAGAAGTGGCTCTAACTGATCTGAGAACTAATCGTTCAGAGTAGTTTTTTAAACTGACCAAATATTTCTCTGAAGAAACATTGACTTCAGTGATGTTTACAAATTAGACATTGCTACCTCTTGCATGATTAACTCTTGTGATTGAGGTGATATCAAAACTTTTAGTGATTGATTATTAACATTTTGGGCTGATCTAGGCAAGCTTCGGGAGTTATTAGTTCTACTGGTGTAGGTATGGGCCGGTAAAGGTTTCTGACGGTATGATAACCCTGGATAAAAGACTTAACCTGGATAAAAGACCCTGGATAAAAGATTAAGACTTTTTGAGACCCTTTTAAGACCACAAAGACTAAAATTTTAGACTTACACAAGGTTCAGATTTTTTAGAATGGCCCTGTAATATTATGAGGAATCATGAAATTGTTTTTTTTTCCCGATTAGGGAATTTAATTTTGGGAATTTGCTATAAAAATGTCCAACTAGATCTCTTTGCAATATAAAAACTAAAAAAAAAAAAAAAAAGGTTGTATCGATATGTGTTGTTGGTCATTAGTTGAATAAAGGCCCAAATTGGGTAGCTTTACTTGGACAAAGCAAAATTAAAAACTGTTTAAAACAATTGAGGATCTACAATACAACATGACTGTGAATTTAAGACTTTTTAGCATAAAGATGTTTCTTTAGACACTTGCCCTAACTAATAAACCTTACAGGACTTGGTGCTCAACAAATGTAGAGCATCAATCACATCTTTTAAACTTTGTGCTCAGTACTGCTACTATCTAGACACAGAATACCCCTGATCACTGATTTGAACGCAAAAGTGAAGATCAGTCCAAATAAAATATTTGAAAAGGGATCATAATACCCCTCGTTTTGATTTGAACTTTTTTTTCTCCCAGTAACTCCCCCACCCTTCTCCAGTATTACTTGTCATGCTTACAGTTGGTATTGATGAGACAGTGCAGTAGGATGCTTGTGTGTAAAAAATTTACTGACCTCTTAGGTAGATCCACACATACAGGTAGAATTCTTGGAATACGTAACAAAAGTGAACTTTGCATGAAAATTTGCATTCCTACTTGAAGTTTGAAAGCTACAGACAGTTCCCATTTCTTCCCACAAAACGAGTGACAAATATTAATGAAGATAAAAATTAAAGTTACGGTGACAATAAACAAGGTGGCAAAAACAAAAAAGTCTACTGTCAGTAGAGTACAATCACATGATGTACCACATGAGGTCACTTTCAAAGTTAAACAAACTTTAATTTGACACACAAAAAAGCTGCTATATTTTACTGCCACTGGCTTGCATGGTTTCCCAGAGATGGGTTGCGGCTGGAAGGGCATCCACTGCGTAAAAACTTGCTGGATAAGTTGGCGGTTCATTCCGCTGTGGCGACCCCATATTAATAAAGGGACTAAGCCGACAAGAAAATGAATGAATGACTTGCATGGTTTGAGACTTCAGTGCTCTTCAGTGTTTTTACTCCACAGTACTTTGTCGGTAGCTAGTTAAAGCTGATACAGGCAGTCAAATAGCAGGTCAATCAATGCTGTGCATTCCTAATTCCGACACCAGACTTGGACTACTACTTGAAGTACAGTAGCATAATCAGAAGTAAAAACAAAAACTGCCTACAAATTCATGAGTTGCGGCAAAGTAACAATATTTCCTGTTTACTTTTATTTGAAGATTTCATTTTGTTTACACGAAGCATTCTTTCCTTCTGCTTTCTTTTTCCACTACAATCCCATTTTTCTCTTCCTTCATTTATACTTTCTCTGCTTTCTTTTGTCTAGCGTCTCTAGTTGTCATGGAGTAAGCGTGCACCTCTGAACAATGTTCTTTTCTTCCCAATCATGCTCAAGCACAGTGTCTCTTTCTATCTCCCTCCCCTCCCTCTTTAGTCCTTTAAGCTCTGGCTTTTAGCAAGAACACAGGACTATTTCTTCCTGAGACTGAGAGAGACTGTCAGTGAGCTCTGAGTTACAATAAGGAAGAAACAACAGATGTCACAGCAGTCAGGTTGAGCGTCAAACCGGAATTCCACAGTTGGAACAACATAAAAGCAGCATGATTGCGAAATATTATCAGAACTCTAGAAATGCTGTTCCATTGGCAGTATTAAAAGTTAGTTAACATGGCGGCAGCATTTACTCAATTGTTCCAAAAATATACATAATTCTCTTTTGGGTGATAAAAATATTTATTGGCAACTAACTTTAAATACACTACAAGATATTTGGCCATGAAAAGCTGGAATCAAACCATGAGTTTATGAGCTAATAATATACAAAGTTCACAGTCTCATCACAGTCCAAAACATAAGCAACACAAACATCTGTTGAAAGGAAATCCTCATTCACCACTTATATTGTCGAAGACAAACAACTGACTTCCTGCTGATCTTAAAAATGGAAACCAGGATGAGTAAACACAACTGCTCCACAAATAAAGAAACAGGCTCATCCTGAGGGTAAAGGAAACAAAAATGAAGGAGCACAATATGTACACAAAAGGGAGATCCTTATTTAGAGAGAATGCATAGAGCCAGAGAAACATTTAGCAAGTACCCACTTCCATAAATACAGAGAAAACGACTGACACTGACCTACTTCACATCAAGGAGAAAGGGATGTCATGGACAGTGACATAATCATGATTGTAGTAAACGGAAGAGATACTGAAGTTCACAACATTTACTTCTCACACACCTTTGTTTGGAACTACATGAGAGGGAGTACATGCTGATAAGGTAGGTTCCTGCTGGTATTTTGCTGCTCATGTGCTTCTCATGTGCTGGTCATGGACCAGTAAAAAAAAAAAATCAAACATACAATACAACTCATAAACAGCTTAGGCCAGGGGTCACCAATCTCAGTCCTGGAGGATCGGTGTCTCTAAAGGGGTTTAGCTCCAACTTGTTTCAACACACCTGCCTGGATGTTTCAAGTACACTTAGTAAGACCTTGATTAGCTTGTTCAGGTGTGTTTGATTAGGGTTTGAGCTAAAACCTGTAGGACACCGGCCCTCCAAGAACAAGTTTGTTGACCCCTGGCTTAAGCCATCATCATTTCACTCATCGGTCATCTTTGAAACGCCTCTTGGGCAGTATGCTCGGGCATTCTGTCTGAATGGGGTAATATCAAATTCTTCAAAAAGTTGCCAAGCTTCTGATTACATATTTGGAATCACCAATAAATTTAAACAATAACTGTCTCATAAGTTTGGTTTCTAAATGTTCAAATCAAACAAAGTTGGCATTTTTTCAAATTGCCCGAACTAATGCGCATGCTCACTCTAAAGGAACAAGATTATAACAAGATATATCTAACTATCACGATAATTTCTTTCATGATAGTGTATCGATAGTCCAACCTGAAGTATCGATTCAAGTTGTGCCAAACAACCTGCTCCAGTAGATGTTGCTAACTCGCAATCAACAAAACGCTAAGTAGTATGGCATCAGAAGTAAGCATGAGTGAGCATGGTGGAAAATACAAGGGCGCCTCCAGTTTTTAGAGCTGACGTGTGGCTGCACTTTGGTTTTAACACTATACCAGAGTACCGAATTAGACAAAAAAATACCATTTGCAAGCTTTGCAAATCTATCTTAAAATATTCAGGAAACACTACGAACCACGCAGATGAATAAGCGGCACTGTGACCTAATCCCAAACCTCTTGATTTGAGGCAAACTACACTGGATAACATCATTAACAAGCTTCCGTCTACCTCAGCTAACATTGTAGAATAACTGAAAACTGCATAGGTGGAATGGGACATAAACTGGAAGGATCTGTTGTTGTAACACAGGGGTGTCAAACTCAATTCCTGGAGGGCCAAAACCCTGCACAGTTTAGATCCAACCCTGCTCCAACACATTTACCTGTAGGTTTCAAACAAGCCTGAAGAACTCAATTAGTTTGATCAGGTGTGTTTAATTAGGGTTGGAACTAAACTGTGCAGAGCTGTGGCCCTTTTGGGACTGAGTTTGACATCTGTGTTGTAACAGATATCGAGTCAAACATGACCGTAGCAGCACAGCTGGCCAGCATGCTGCATGTAAAATGCTTGACGCATGCCATCAATTTACCTATGTCTGATAAGTTTTCACAGCAAAATGTTCACGATGCTGTCAGTCGCACTGTCAGTTTCTAATAGTTTACAGCATATTAGAGCACTGTGTTCCAGTTTTATGTTTACTTGATGTGTTTAATTTTTTTTTTACTTAATTTAGTTTTATAAATTGTTTATTTCGTTTATATGTGACTTTAGCGGCATGTACATTTTCGTAAAGTGTTTAATAACAATATGCATTTAATACATTTCAGTGAGCATTTATTGTATCACAATATATCATGATATATTGTATGGTGACCCATGTATCATGATATGCATCATATCGTGAGGCCCTTGCCAATACACAGCCCTAAGTTAGATCTCACTGCTCTTTAAAGCAATTCAAAACTTGGTCTTGATAGTGAATCTCCTCCAGAAATGACAGGGACTCTTTGTTTACAAGTTTGTGGGTATTCTTGTAGTTTCTGTTGTGTAATGTACGTATGACAGGATGCAAATGTTTTTACGTGCACTTGGTTTATTTAAAAGCACAAAATTTAAGCTTTATGAGAATATATTTCTTATGTTTGTGACGCAAGTATTTGATGAGATTTCCGTGTGTTTGTTGACCACAAAATCTGTCGTAATGGAGAAACATCAGTAATAGTGATCAATGATTGGCTCCTGTACTAGTAGGCGGGGCTTCATTTGCCATATTGATCAGTATACTTTTCCCCATTCAAAACTATACTAGTGACATGTCTTGAGTATTCTATAGGCTTTGATGTGGACAAGTTGGGATACACATTTATACTGTACCTGGTGTTTCAGGTACAGTTGTCTTGTTTGTCCACCTTCCTGATATCTTTAAGGGGACGGTCTATGGACTGGTTTATTTTTAGGCTTTTTATGAACTTTCCATGTAGCAACTACAGTGCAAAAACCAACACTCAACTTTATCAATTGAAAAGTGTAGTTAACTTAAAATTTACAGAAAATGTATTCTATTCATTTGAAAAGAGTTTTTAACTGAATGTTAAAGGTAGCGAGCTAACTAAATACCTCTCTTCTTCAACTTAAATGGAGTAAATTCACAGTACTCATATAGATTAATTTTTTTACTTAAATGGTTTAATGCAATCGGTTTCCTCAAATGGTTTGAGTTGCCTTATTGGGTTTACTGTACTCAGTTGGTTTGAGTTCTATTCATTTATTGGGTTTTACTGTGCTCAAATTGTTTACTCGAATGGATTAAGTTCACAGTACTCATTAGGATTAGTTTTTGAACTTAAATGGTTTGTTGCAATCGGTTTCCTTAAATGGTTTGAGTTCCCTTAAATTATTGGGTTTTACAGTATACTGCAAAAAGTTACATTAGAATGCAAAAGTACCAGAAATAATTAAAAAATACGGACAACAGAAGCTCAAGCTTTACTTTTTGCTCTAATAGCCATCAAAACAATGCTGAAAATGTGGGTTAGTGTCAGAAGCAGAACTGATTTTTTTCTCATTCAAAACAAATTGACTTTTTTTTAGACAGCCAAGTTTAAATTCTGTCCAAATAGCACACTTCGACAACATGTCTTGTAATGACTAACTGGGTCAGTAGGCTGATGGTTTCATTTAGGGCTAGGTTCGACCACATAAGCGTCTACAATATAAAGCAATCAAGTCAAATTTGTTTTTGAATACTTCTGGAATTGTACAAGATCGAAATGTTTCAGTCACCCTTTATTCAGCATTGTTCACTTGTGATTGGATCAATAAAAATACATCTCGATACCAGGTGGAAACAGGTTCTGAAAAGTTACTTGGCATGTGTTCTGACCCAGACTACAAATCCATGGCGTCTTCAGCCTGCCAGACTCTAAAGAAATACATGACCTGGTTTTCAAACTTAAGAGATCCTTTCCTTTTCTCCAGAGGAAACAAAACACAGTAGAGAGATCTAGTTATTGAGTGGTTTTGGTCAGTTAAATCAGATCTTTATCTTGTTCTCAAAAAAAGTCCAATTAAAACAAATGTATTCTCAATTCTTCAAATGTATTAGCTTCTACAGCATCAAACAGGTAGTTACAGATGATAAAATGATTTACACATCATATTCAATCCTTTCCTTCTCTAAACAAAATCCACTTTTAAGGGGTCCCAAAGTCAGACACACAAATGACAGCATGATGCACTTTCTTTTTGATGCAACCAGTGCCAGATCTGAGACAAAAGGAGATCAAAGAGTTGTGTTTCTTGCTTTGATCAGGTTTGACTAAAATATCAAAATCTGAACTGACTATCAGAGCTTTCATGTAGCAGGAACAGATCGTTCACAGTATATCTTAAACCGTTAACATAATAATAGACACACAAACAATAATGAATTAAACACTGAAATTATAAAATTATGAAAAATTACGTGCGAGCTTGAAAACATTTCTGCTAATGGTTGGTAAACCTTTTAACTTAAACGTTTTTCTTGCTCCATTTCTCTTTGTTAAGCATTAACCTAATTTGATTTTTCAGAAAAGAAGACTTCATGTTTTACATAATTGGAATTTTCAAGTTAATATCTCTTGTTTGACCCTGATTTTGCCTTCTGAGGCTGAACGAAATAATACTGACAGTGCTAACAGATGAAATTCACAGTACGATCAGTTTCTAATGACTGCAAGGAAGCATGTTGTTGTGACCCATTTAGTCTAAAATGTACATCCAGATGTACATTCACAATAATTTAGATTGTGAGATCGATATCAGCTACATAGGTATGTATGGTAAAGGCCCTAAAGATATGGAACTAAACCCCAACACATTTTTTTTTTGTTTGTTTGTTTAAGAAAAAGTCTGTCAGTACATGAAAGACATAGGATATTACATGCCTCAGCTGACGCAAGCTCAGACAAGACCCAGAGTTTTGTTTTCCAGGGTAAAGGTATTTAAACTGATCTATGACCCCTGGCAAAGTCATCATTTAAAGAACAATTAAGGTAAACAGTAAAGTATACCAGACCAAGTATACCAGACTAGATTTACATAACATGTACTGTGATAAAAATAGTGTTTCCTTATTTTAAGGCAAAACAGATACGGGAAATCAATGCCAAATACCTTAAAACAAGCAGGATCTTGTCAATATAAAAAATTAAACAGCTTCAATAGTACAATCAAAAGCAAACTATAGAATAAAAAAAAAACTAGATCTAAGGCTCTTATCAAATTGGGCATCTGGTAAACTTACAAAAAGATTTGGGTCACTGTCTGCAGGCTAATTCCTTAAGGCTTGAATGAAAACTTTCTGAAGCATTTCAGAGTATACAAAACAAAATACTGAAACAGGATGGAAAAAATCTTAACAGGTTCATGATTGTTAAGTTTACACCAAGTAAATGATAAGATTGAGTCAGGCATACCTTGATTGGTGCTGTAGAAAACTTGATTTTTCTCTTTGGGTTGAGGTTTTCCTCATCAGAAAGTCCTGGAAGTTCTTCAAATTCCTCAGATTCCTCCTTCACTTGACATTCCAAATCGGTCCGGTTGTCCTTGTCATCCACAAAGGCAGCATTCTCAATTCCACAAATTAAAGATCGGTTTCCCATCAAACCCTGATCATCTTGCTGCTGCCTCTCTTTTCCTGCTAAGTCCTCATCTTCCATCTCTCGTTCATCCTCGTCCTCCTCCAAAGCTTCAACAGCTTCTTCTACCCTGCCATCCTCTTCCTCATCCTCTTCTTCTCTCCGTTCATTCTGCTGTTCCTTATTTTCAACATCAGTAGCTTTCTGCTCACCCTCTCCCATTACACTCTCTAGAACAACCTCCTCCTCAGTTCGGTCTGTCTTTCGGTCTACTTCCTTGTTGTCTTTTTTTCCCTCCTCCTCATCGTCATCTTCTTGTTCCATTATGTTCTCCTCAAGAAAATTTCCCTCCCCTCTATGGTCCTCCTTTTTTCCAGTGTGTACAGATTCCTCGCACAACTTCCCAAGGAATGTTAATCGGTGTTCCTCGCTATTGGTCAAAATTCTCCCAGAATTGTAATTTAGTGATTGTTCCTCCATTTCAGGCTCCTCAAAAACATCATCCTCAGCAAGTTCCTCCTCGTTGCCCTCACTCTCAGATGATTCGGTCTTCACTACCACCAGCTCAGCTCTGACTGTGGACAAACCAGGAACCTTCTCAGAACTTGTCCCTTCACCTTGCTGCTCCTGAAAAGCAGGATCCTCAGCTTCAGATGCATGACTAGTGCTTGTCATTGATGAGAAGATGTGGACCTTTTCACTTGTAAACAAAAGAGTGGGTTCTGATGATACTGTATCCTCTGGGGATTCATTAACATGTTCTTCAGGTGTGGAACTAGTATTATGTAAGGTTTTCTGCATACAGACTCCATTCAAAGGGGGATTGTGTAAATCTGAACCATGTAACTTGGGGAAACATGTTTCAGAAGGTGAATCAGCCCATAGTAAGTAGGATGTAGGGGAACTACAGCTGTCTGGTGATGAAGGTGGATCTGAATGGTCACTAGTAGCAGAAGGTGACTGGGAATGACTGATGGGACTGTGGGATTCTGTGGAAGGAGCCGCTGACAGCGATTCGCTATCACTGTCTAACATAAAACTCTCCAGACGTCTGGAAATTGGCCCGGCATTCATAGAGGTGCTCAGCTTATGTGGTGGTGTCTCACTTTCGCCTTTCTCTTTTTCCTTATCATCCCTTTCTTCTGCTTGTCCCTCTATCTCATTCGTTTTGTCCTTTTTCTCTCCAGTCACTGACACTTTCATATCCGGTCTCTCCATTGGTTGAGGCCAGATGACTTTAATGGAGGCAGATCTTTCAGTTGGAGATTGTTCTTTAAGGCCACTCTCAAACAGCTTTCTGGTCATTGAGAACTTCTCAGCCAGAGCCGCCTTGTTAATGGAAACATCCTCTGTTTTCCGTGTCTCAAAAGTGGCTGAATCTAGACTAGAAACACTGCTCTGGCTAGACCTGTAAGGGGTGGAATCCAATGGAAATCTGGGTGATGTGGGTTTGCTGATGTTGGGAATGTCTTGATTTTGTTTTCCATCCATTTGCAAGAAAATATTTTTTATTTTGCTCACTTTGTTACCCGACGGTCTGCCTCGAGTCTCACCGTCTCCATTGGAGAAGGGAGAAGTTGCGCTGATCGATGCACTTCCATCAAATGTGCATTTAATGGAATGAAAGTCTGATTTATAGGCGTTTCTGTGAGGAGATGCACTTCTCAGTGCACGGTCACTTTTGTTTTCACTTTTAATCATGATCAAAGATTTAAAAATGATGAAAGATTTAAAAGGTAAAATACATAAAACTGGGGCTAAAAAAGCAGCGTGTATCCAGGTGCATGGTATGCCCTCATTCACACTGGCTGAGGCTGTAGACACAGACAATGGTGAGTGAGTGACACAGTGCCAACCGATCTTACCTACAACAAAGAGAAACAAAGACATCTGTCAGTTTGTAATTCACTGCAACTGTTTAACCCTCTTCTTAATTTTTTTAATCAAAATTTTTAATATTTACACTACACTGCATAATAATGTTTTTCAGAACACATAATTCAGAATATCTCTTTGCAAATGCAACCAAGTTGCACAGTATTTATTTTTACTTTACCGTAAAAATGCCAGCAGCTATGAATGCAGGAAGTAGTATCATTTAATTTAAATCTCAAAGAGAATTTAAAAAAAAAAATTTTTCATTGTAATTTTTATTGATAACAGCACATGTGGCAAACAGAAGTCCTCTTCGGCAATTTTTAATTCAGCAATTGTTAACTTGACAGGACATTAGGTTTAAGACATAATACTAAACTTGTTACTTGATTTGGTAGATAACTTAATTTAACATAACACACAACTAAAACCTAACATAAACCCACTAGATAACTGATAAAACAACAAGACAGTTAAGTCTTAAGTCTAAGAAAATCTAAACAAAACGGTTTAAAGGTTGAAAGAAAGAATTCTGAACATGTATACTTCCTCGTAAATACCAAGACGATGTTTAAACAGAGAACTAAAAACCCATTAGTTTAATAACATTTACAAACAAAATAAAAAATAAATAAAAAATAATAAAAAACTATAAATACTTGCCATTAAACTTTTTACACACATTTATTTCAGCGTGCTATAACATCACATAACACAAACTGTAGGTCATTGCTGTCGCATTTTGACATTGCTTTATTTTTTTTTTTTAAAGATGTAGCAGGTGTTTAAATAGTACACCGTAGCCTATGACCATTTACACACCTCCTTTCTGACAGTCGATCTGTCCCCAGTGACTGCTGTAAACAAATTCAGTCCAAATGAAGCCTGACTTGTTGGAGTATCTTTAAGAAAGTTTATCTTTCCATTTTCGAAAACAAAACGACCGGATAAACGAGTTTAAACATACCTGAACTTCATTCATTGCGACTTACGGACGAACTGAGAAACCATGCCAAACTCCTAAAAAAATCACAAACTTGTTAGATTATTCGTCGTCATTCCTCTCCGAAGTCTTTCTCTGAACGTAACCAGCTCAACAAACCTTATCCCCATAAGCGGCCACGCGCGCGCTCCCTCGGCGTCTTTCCGGAGTTCGAGAGTAAAACAAGCACGCGCACGAAGAGGCAGGGAGAGAGAGACATTCCTGGACAACCGTGGGAAAGTCAGTAATCTCACCCATAAAGTAACAACCAAATCCAGATAGAGGCTATGGGCAAATGTTGTCTTTTACAGACATTTAGGGGAAAAAAATGTTTCCTACATAGTATAGAAACAATTATTCGAATTTAAAGATACTGTTTCTAAATAATTCTCAATGTCCATCCTAAGATACAATGTTTGTATGTAGGCTATATATTTTGAAGATAAAATCTAAACGCTATGCTTATGGTTTATCCTTTTCAAATTATAGAAAAAATATTATATATAAAAACAATAATAAACAAATAAATAAAATAAATATGCATTAAATCAAATTAGTTCATTTCTAGTGCACCATTGATTTTAGGCCACATTTAACTGCCATGTCTGATTTTGATCTCTCTGACAATTACAAGTAGGTCACCATCTTATTGGTTCTGACATAATTCGAGAGGAACAGAGGATAAGGGAAAAGAAAAGGTGCTAACGGCAAGGATTGAAACATTTTCAGTGCAGATAAATGCCATTACCACAAAACCAATCTCACCAGAATCAAAGAGAAAAGTGACTAAGACAAAAACAAGGTCCACTACTGACATTGTAAACTGGCAATAAAATAACACAAAGATTGATGAACCATTTTACACCAGACATTTAGTCTCCTCCCATTTGAATTTGAGAGGACTGTGTCCCATTGTAAATTGCAGTGTGAAGTGTGACCATATGAAGCCTCTAACAGATGGCAGTTTGTAGCTACATATTGAAAGTAGATTATCTCTGCTGATCCACTGTTCAGAGTGACAATCAGCATAACTGAAGCATGTGGTTCCATTTAAAATTGCTTGACCAATACAATAAAAATATATCATCTGCAGGGTGCTGTGTTTATTGCTGAGCAATATAAATCAATAATAAATGCTTTTTAAAACTGTACATTTGACATTTCAAAAGCTTGCACTGTTATTCCTCAGTCCCTCATAAATAGCAGCAATTCACTGATCCTGAGAACTGGGCAGTTTTCTAATTAAATGTCATAAGGTTTATTCTTAGAGACCTCTGGCTTGTTTTTCCTGGGCTTTACAATCAATGAGAAAAATGCCTCACACTAAACCCACAATACCTCAGTTATGCAATCATGCAGTAAAAAAAAGAGAGAGAGTCTTGGTAGGCAAAAAGAGCAAAATGAACACTTACCATATCTTTGATATTCCTTTTCTTAATAACAAAAAAAGAAAGAATAATATTGCAGATTTGATGAATGAAACAGGTGTCTGTAGCCTGCGTCACCGAGCTGCTAGTCCTGATTCACTATGTCATGACCTCTGTTTGTGGAAAGTTATGATATGACGCATCATTGTCGAAGTCCTTTTTGCTCGGCCCGGGTTTGTTACATGGCCTGAATTTGGTGCTGTTTTCCCCAGGTGGCCCCAGGACCTAGATTTATAAAAATATCACCCAATCATAGAAGCAGCAAGGATGAGAGAATGAGAGAGAGATTCGAGAAAATTAGCTGGAACTGGAATGCAATGAACCTCATTTTTATAATGCACTGTAGAAATTGTGATCTGTTGCATACTGTGCATGCTTCTCCATGTTCACAATATATTTATATTTCAAACAAACCAGAGATGCTTAAAAGAAAGAAAAAAGAACAGAAAGAGAGAGAGAGAACACTTACAGGCTCATTTTGATTTAAAGAGATAGTTAAAGCATTTCAATTTACTTAGTATTTACTCACCTTTTTTATTCTGCTGAACACAAAAGAGGGCATCACGATGGCACAGTGGGTAGCATGATAGCTTCACAGCAAGAAGGTCGCTGATTCGAGCCTCAGTTGGGTCAGGCATTTCTGTGTGGAGTTTGCATATTCTCCTCGTGTTCGTGTGGGTTTTCTCTGGGTTTCCCCCACAAGGCCAAAGACATGCGCTATTAGTGAATTGGGTAAGCTAAATTGTCCATAGTGTATGTGTGTGAATGAGTGTGCATGAATGTTTCAGCTGGAAGGGCTTCCGCTGCATAAAACATCTACTGGATAAGTTGGCAGTTCATTCCGCTGTGGCATTTCTTGATTAATAAAGGGACTAAGCCGAAAAGAAAATCAATGAATTACAGAATGAACACAAAAAAGATATTCTGAAGAATGTTAGATACTGGTAACAACTGACCTTCATAGTACGAAAAACAACTATAAAAATCAATGGTTTCGATCATTTTTCGAAATAACTTCATTTGTGTTCACCAGAAAAACTGAAACAGTTTTTTGACAAGTGAAATGAGAGTAAATGCTAACAGAATGTTCAGTTTTGGATGAACTATCCTTAAATAAAGCAGAATCAGGGGGTAAAAATCTAATGTAAATGCTTCTGAGTTGCGGAACCCCCCCACAACCCCCACAATCTTTCTGATCCTTTTTTCAACAGTGATGAATTGTTGTATATTGTACATGCAAGCATATGTCAATGGCTGTAAGAGTTTCTCTGACCTCATTTGGGATATAAATAAACCTTGTTCTTGGACTGAAGTTTCAAGCGGAATTCTTTTATAAGCCACTCCAGTCTAACACTAGGCTTTATCTTTTTACAGAATACCAGCCCACACAATGAAATCTCAAAATATTTATTGAGACGAATATTTGCGGTAGATATGCTATGGGGGAGTTGGTAATGAATACACAGAGATAACATTTAAAATTAACTGTGGAACATTGCATTTTCAAACTCTCAGCTCCATGTATCAGATATATATGTAGGACTTTATATAGCATACAGTAAGCCGTTCTGGGAGATCTGAGGGGTGATGGCACTGCTAAGACACAGATGGTGATCTATTTACAACTCTTAGTTTAGAACTTAAAGTTACCCAAGTGTTTTGGCTTGCTACACTTTATTCATTATTAATCACGTGCAAAACACTGATAAAAATGAACACTCCTACCTAAAGCTAAATTTAGTCTTTTGTTTAAAGAAAACTTACTTGCAGAACAGTATTTTAGAAAACCAAGAGATAATATCTGAAAACGAGATTAAAAATAATTAAAGTTAAATAGTTTGCCCAAAAATATTATATATTGTAATATGTTTCTAAAAATTATTTTATACAATAGATGATTACTTTTAGATCAGTACCATGCTATAAAAACAATAAACAACCAAATAAATGCATACATACATACATACATACAAACATACATACGTGCATGCATACATACATACATACATACATACATACATACATACATACATACATACATACATACATACATACATACATATATACATACATACATACATACATACATACATACATACATACATACATACATACATACATACATACAAACATACATACAAACATACATACACACATACATACACTCACTGGCCACTTTATTAGGAACAACTTACTAGTACTGGGCTGGAATCCCTTTTGCTTTAAGAACTGCCTTAATCGATCATGGCATAGATTCAATAAGATACTGGAAAGATTCATCTGAGATTCTGGTCCTTAATGACATGATAGCATCACACAGTTGCTGCAGATTTGTCGGCTGCACATCCTTGATGCGAATCTCCCATTCCACCACATGCCAAAGGTGCTCTATTGGATTGAGATCTGGTAACTGTAGAGGCCATTTGAGTACAGTGAACTCGTTGTCATGTTCAAGAATCCAGTCTGAGATGATTCACGCTTTATGACTTGGTGCATTATTCTGCTGGAAGTAGCCATCTGAAGACTGTAGTCATAAAAGGATTGTCATGGTCAGCAACAATACTCAGGTAGCCTGTGGCGTTGACACAATGCTCAGTTGGTACTAATGGGCCCAAAGTGTGCCAAGAAAATATCCCCCACACCACCATCAGCAGCCTGAACCGTTGATGCAAATCAGGATGGATACATGCTTTCATGTTGTTGACATGAAGTTCTGACCCTGCCATCTGAATGTTGTAGAAATCGAGACTCATCAGACCAGGCAACATTTTTCATTTTATTTCATTCTCTTTAAACCACAGAGATGGTTTTCAAATCTCAGTAGATTAGCAGTTTCTGAAATACCCAGACAAGTCCGACTGGCACCTACAACCATGCCATTTTCAAAGTCAAGTAAATCACCTTTCTTTCTCATTCTCATGCTCGGTTTGAACTGCAGCAGATCGTCTTAACCATGTCTACAAAAATTTGCGTTAATAAGCAACTGGAGAGGTGTACCTAATAAAGTGGCCGGTGAGTGTACATACATAAAAACATACATACATACTTACATACATACATACACACATACATACATAAATACATACATACATACATACATACATACATACATACATACATACATACATACATACATACATTTATCTGAGCTCATTGCTTGTGACTCATCTATTTTTCAAGCTCAAGTGAGAAAAAAAAACATATTCACATTTTGACAGCTTACTGTAACAGTTTGCCAGTTTTTCATCTCTGGCCACTTGGAAGTTACTGGCAGGTACAGTGATCTTCCATTTGTGAATGATATTATTTACTGGCTCAAGTCACCTCATGTAATAACAACTGGGAAGATGATTAAGCAGGTCATAAAAAAGATAACAGCACCTAACACTCATCAAACAACGAGTGTACATATTTACATAGTTACCATTGAGGCTTTGGTTCATGATCGTTTTTATTATATCAAATGCCATAATTCATCTATAGTCTAAGTATAGCTGAAGTCAAGGGCATTTGAAGGCCTTAGATGGGCTCAGACCCTCAAATGACTCAAAAAGAAAAGTGCTTAGCTTTCAGGCTTTCTAATTAAACCCATTAAAATAGCATTTACTTGTCATTACTGTGGCACATTGGATTGTACCGAATTGTGAGATTTTACTAGCGATAATAAGAATCACACTTAAGGTATAACTCACTCCAAAATAAATTAAAAAAAGTCATCATTTGCTTGCTCTTTCTGATGAACATACAGGAAGAT